TGTAAGAGAATTTAAAAATTTGAAAAAACTTTGCATAAAAAAAATGGACAGCACGAAATTGTGGCACGTCAAGTGCAGTTTCTGCTGAAGGCAACCGCAGCGAAGGTCTGACGGAAAAGTGGCCGAGAGTTTTCCACGCAGCGCTGCTGGTAATAAAACGTTTACCGCTGTTAACTTGCCGCACATCGAGTGATTTCCCTCGAATGGGCTATGGGGGAAGAGGAAACTCAAACTTTGTTGTTATTGTTGCTGTCGATATTTGAAAAGTTGCTTGCTAATTTTGCTTAAGGACTTGGCCAACTGAAATTTGCCGTAATTAACTGAAACGTTTGCATTTTAATAGACTTTGCATAAATTGTGCGTTAAGTTTTGAAACAAAACAAAACGAAACAGAAGGAAAAGTTGAAGGGTGAACGGCGGCTATGGTTATGGTTTGGGTTTAGGGTTATCGACAACATTATGAATAAAGTTTTGTGCAACGATGTTATGCCCGAATCGATAATTTGAGCTATGAATGAGTAGAAGCGAGTGGAAGGATGCGGATGTGGCATGTTAAGGCTGTGGACGAGCATCGAGTATACGCCACGTTGGCCAGCTGATAAGTGCGTGTTTGTGTGTGCAGCAAAGCATGACTAATGACAACTTTGGCCAGCCATGTACATGTGCCAGTATATATCATTTCGTTTAGCAAATAACAAATATCATTGCCCGATGTTGGAGCGAGAGGGAAATAAAGATAAATAGTGTTTTGAAATGTTTTCATGTTGCCTTTGCGAATGAAATTGTTGCACACTCGACCGAGACGAAGCTCCTCCTGGGAGCATCCTTCTCTAGTATCCTTCGCATTCTATCTCCTCATCTGTCTCCCTAAATTCCCTTTCTCTGTTGTATAAATAAATGCCACATATATAGAGAGAGCAGGACCAGCAACAGCAACAGCGACAACAGCAACGAGCGCATTTGCAACATTTATTGAGTCGTTGAACGAGTTGAATGAGTTTGGGTTTTTATTTTTAAACGATGGCTATGGCTGAAGCCTCCGCAGCACGAGGCAAAGACTAAACGAGCGTACACAGTTTAAATATTGATTTACGACCACATATACAATAAACCAGCGGGCGGAGAAAGAGCCAGGCTGAGGCACTGGGGCAGAGAGAGGGCAAAACAATACAGACGGTTGGAATTTGTTTTTAAATTATGACCTAACAAGAAATTTCATTTAAGTAATTTTCTCACAACTGAAATGGCTGCAGACTGACCAATAGTAAACGCAAACATCCAAGTTATTTATTTTAACAAAAAGATAGTACTATTTTAGTTGTTTAAATCATTACAGAATGCCAAAAGGTGCTGAAAACCCCAGAGTACTTGTTTCGGACTCGGCCAAGTCGATATCTTGGCTTTTGGGCAAGTGAGTCCATCAGGGCAATCAAACACACGATTATGCGGCCTTTATGTAGAGCGGACCCGTTATCATCCTCTTAGCCCTTTCTAAAGCACCCAGCATCTTAAGGCTATGCAAGTTAGGACTTCACACAAAGGAATGCGTAATCACATGTTGTGGTAGACACTGTGAAAATTTCGATTTGGCATTCATTAGACGGCTGTGGTTTGCCAAGAGAAAATTGAATGTCAAGTGCAGGGCAAGAGAAATTCGAGAAGACCAAACGGCTGCCACTCCTCCTGGCCTTCAGATAGCGGCTTACAGCATGCAACATGCCACCAAGGAAGACGATGCTGCGCTGCCAGGCTGATGCGGACAAAATGCGCAAATTGGTTTCACTTGGCAGGGCATGCGTGAAAACGATGTTGTCCTAGGACACGTCCCCGTCCAGTCCCCGTTCTTTTTCCCGCTCGAGTTACGCCGCTGCCGTAGCCGAGAAACTTGGCTCAAGTTGCGGAAAACTTTTTCGCCCACCACCCCCACCGCCCGCGTCGCCCGCGCCACCCTGTTGCACATTTGACGCAGTCGACCTGCCCACATGGCGGATGACAAATGTTCCCACTGCTCATTCGACAATCGCCTCAGCCAAAAGAAGCCATTAGAATAGATTAGAGCAGCTGGGGAATATAAGCCAGGGGTTTCCTGGGCTCCAAGGGAACCAGAGACCTCTCTCAACACTCAAGGTGTTGGTAATCACTTTTCCGGCCTCGACTATTATGGCGGTATGTTTGTGTTGCCCTCGAGTGTCATAATAATTAAATGGAATTAATGAAAAGCCGGCCAGGAATTCCTCCCGACCACCAATCTACAACAGTCTAGAGTGCATGTAGAACAAATTTATTATTAATTTTATTTGAAAATTGTACAAGACGGAAATAACTTACTTTACAATATAATCAGTATTTTAAATATTTCATTGTGGAATTTTCACATTCCTTAGGGTTAAATAAAGACCAAATTTCACAAATCGGTTGATAGTCTATGGAATTTAATCGAAATTCCTTATCACTAATTGTACGCTGCCCAATATTTGTTTTCAGTGTTGCGGTGCGTGCCGCTTTCGCTTTGTTATTTAAGGTGGCAGACTCATTTGTAAGCCAGCCCAGGTTTCGAGAATCTCTTGCCATGCCTTTGAGCCAGTGCTTTGTTCGTGGTTTTTGTTTTCCTTACAAATTCCCGACCTTGAACTAAGATAAAGATTCCTGCGAAGGCCAGATACTCCTACGTACTCAACATATACATATAATATAAATGCTTCAGTGAGACCTCTTCATGCGTGTTTGCCTTTGGCCTTCGCTGGCCCACGCGAATATGGATGCTTTATGTTCTTACGAGATTGCCCATTTTTGGGCCTAAAATAACCGAAATTGAATTGTGAAGGTAGAGGGGCATTCTCATACTTTCAGAGCCTTAAGCTGGACTTATTTTATTGTAAGTTTTGAATAAGAGTACGCTTATAAAGGCGTTGGACAAAATGTTTATTATTTTAGTAAATTACCTATTTTATTAAATTTCTACAAAAAATCTAGCTTTTACATCCATTTATATGCCAAATGTAATTCTGTTCTCCTGACTGAACCCGTGATTTTTCAAAATTCAGAGAAAGCAGCCCTCTGCTGAACATTGCATCCAAATCCTCCGATGACTGATGGCAGGGCTGCGCTACATCAATCACGTTCCGTTCGGCTCACCGATAATTTGATTGATATTCAATAGTCAGACGGCAGAAACTTCAAATTTAAACCAAAATTCACTTTGGCGTTTAAAGAAGTCGTGGCAGAAATCTCTTTGGCTTGCATGGAAGAAAAAGAAATGGTAAAGAGAATATTTATGCAGTGAACCTCGAACCGCGAACGGGTTCAAAGTGCATCCACTAGAAGCTGCTGTAGCTCTTTTTCCACTGCCCGTGGTTGTGGCGGTGGTGCGGTGGTGCTGCGCATAACCAAAAAATATTCGAGTCCTCTCGAGTTTTGTTTATTTTTTTCCCGTTTGATGTTGTGGGGCTGCTCTCCATTTGTCGAATGCTTAAAGCCATTTGAAAATGATTGGCTTTTATGTCAATAAGCGTCTCAGTTGTCCTTACTTGTTTCTACACATATATATATATATAAACTTTTTTTTTATTTTAACTTCTTTTGCCTGTTTTTGCAGTGGCTTTTCTTGGTTTTTTCCCTCGATTTTTTCAGCTTTTCTTTCGGTTTTTGCACTTGCGGCAGGCTCTTAGAGTCTGTCGCGTTTAAGTGCCCCAATAAAACACAATAAATATACACATAAATTTTTATATACATCACAAATATAGTATGTATATGTATAGCATGTTGTTTCTTGGCCCGAAGGCGGGAGAAAAGTTGTCGCGTTTTAATAGACAAAAAAATGAAAAAAGAAAGGAAGCCAACAAACAAAAGCAAACATTGTGGCTCAGTCTTTGGGTCACTTAAAGTTCTTATTTATATTTTTTTTGCGTTCAAAGAGAGCTTAAATTTTTACTTTGATATATTTAGATGGTGGACCTTGGTGAGCAGCTGCCCCATCTGATGCCATAAATCTTCCATTTACATTTCAGGAGCCACCCCATCGAGTTAAAAATTTTTGGCCCTCGGCCTCAAATCAAATTTTTACACTAAAGCATCGGGGGTTCGGTGAAATCAGCAATAAGTTGCTAAACACCGAAGCGTAAAATAAGCATTCGTCACTCATTTTTTCGTGCGCATACATAAATCTAAATTCAAACCTTTTTCGGGGGCTCTTTTTTTGTATATTTTGATTATTCGAGGGGCTTAGAGTATCCCGCACAATTGATTTATGAAAATTTATTGCACACATGCGGAAAAACCAGGCTTCCAACGTATGTTTCGATTGATTAGTGTCGACGCCCTGAGACTGGCAACGGTTTTCGGTCGAAATTAAAGCTGCCACGCCGACGGCAATGAAATCAAAGCCATAAAAGCTAATGAGCCCGAAAACTCAGTAGCTGTTGTCACAGATTTTGGCCCGCAATCTTCCCAACTAACATAGGAGTTCGCGAAGGGGCATAATGAAAATCGCTGCCATCTTGTTGCGCCGTGCATTCCTTCATAAAATCGAATTCCCCCCTCACAGCTCCGGCCATAAAATGATGGCGATCGCACTGGCTACCTATGGGTATGGAATGGCGTGGAATGTCGTAAAATTTACGCAAATTGTCGTTGCTGTTGCTGAGTCCTGATTCTAGACTCCTGATACCCGAGACCCGATGTTTCCGATGCTTGCTTACCGTTATTGCCTGTGAGTGCGCATAAATTGGGGCACAAGTACAAGCAAACAAGTCCTGCAGAAAGAAAAGAAACCTCACATGGTAGTGGGAGCGGGGTTGGGCGTGAAGGTAACTGATTTATGCGCCGACAATGAAATGGAATTGTTGCCAATGCACTGAACGAAAAATTAACAAAAAATATTCTGGTATAAATCTTTCTGATTATAGACTTAAAAAGGATGCTTCTTGTGTTTATTTATATTTGAATTGTATCAGCTAATTGTCAACCGAATCTTTCCACCAAATTTCAAGTGTTTTCGGAATTGAAATGAATTGAAGTGTCCTGAGCATTTAATGGCAAAACAAATGTAAACCTCCTGTCGATCTCAAATCATACTCGCATCGTTGAGCTGGCAAAATTGCAAAAAATAGAAATTCAAAGTACTCGAGATGACGGAAGTGTCCGAAAAGAGCGAGGGCCATGAAGACAAGCACCATGGTAAGGCGGATAACAGTGAGACTTTGGGTAGCTCCTTCTTCGATATCCTTTGGCCGCTGATTCTGGATGAGAATACGTGCCACATTGAAAGCCAGTCGGAGGAGTTCTTTATGCCACAGAAACCCTTCGACAAACTCAAGTGGCACACCTACCTGTCGCAGGTGGGCTTCCCATCGTACATGCCACCACATGAGCTTCGTTGCTGCGAGGCGGCCAAAAGGGAGGAGGTCCAGGAGGAGGAGGCCCAAAAGGAGGCCAACAAGGAGGCGGAGGAGCGCAAAGCCATGGCTCAGTGCGACTTCTTAGGATGGGGATCGCAGGTTGGAAATTATATCAGTTTTGGGTGATCTCTCACCAAATCTACATCCATTTCAGGCCATACGCCCTGTGGACAAGGAGGTCACCTATCTGAGGGAGCAGCAAGAGCGGCGACAGAAGTTGGCCTACGACTTTGCCAATCGTCGCTACCCCTGGACCATGCAAACCCCCAGCCATGAGCTGGGCTTCGAGATGACAACCGAGGTGCAGTACTGCTTCCGAGGGTACATGGAGCTGCCCATTCTACAGGCCATCCACGACCATAATTGCAACCTTATGATAATCGACATCGGCTCAGAGGTGGAACTTGAGGACTGCCATCGGTGGATCAAGTATCGCCCTTACGTCCAGATGCTGGCTTTGGTGCGAACCCCACAAATGGAGCGCTCGTTGCAGCTTCTAAATGTGTTCCACACCCTGTTGGTCGAGGAATCCGGGGAGAACTCCTGGCACGACGAGCTCCTAAGCTCCCTTCGTAGCGGATACAGTCACGCTCAGAAAATCCAACTTCTCAAATCCTGTGGCGAGCCATTGGTGTATGTTTTCAGCCGATATCGTGACATTTGCACTTGCGACACTTACAAAATAATTCGCCGGCTGTAGAGCTTACTTTTAGCCTTCATTCCCAAAAAAGTGAAATTGCAAAAAAAAAATTGATCAGTTAAAACAAAAAAAACTCTTAGAAAACATTCCCTAAAAACACCATTCAATTTAAAAAAATTTTCAAATTATCCAAATTAAAGAGAAAGTTTGGATCAATAAATGTGATTTTAAACAAAATCTATTTTGGGTTATAGTTCAGGTTGGTCAATTTTCAGGATATCCGTAATACACATTGCCTAATTCGACTCGACATGATTTCCATGGGCTGGCTATTGACTTGAAGTGGCGCCCGCCCAGCAGGGTTCGCTCCAATTAGACGCGCACAATTGACGCTGCCTTCGAGTGCAGTCAGACGCACTGCCACTTGGTATGCTCCACTCCGGCTGACGATATTGACGCGGACGGAAGTCTGCACCACCGCCTTCCGATGTAGTGTCAAAGTGCCTCCGCCCAACTGCCAAACTTGAGCCCTCGGCGCAATTCACAACAAATTTGTTTGGCAAAGGAGAGGAAAAAATTTCGCGCCAAATCTCAACAAATTATTACAAAGCTTAACAAACTTGGAACTGATTATAAAAGTTGCTCGCAGGCAGTAGCAGTAAGGGGAAAATTGGGAAAAATGGAAATGGAAAAATGTGGAAAAGGCGGCCGCCACAATGCAGCGAAAATTGAGTTGCGGGCGGTAAAGAGGAGACATTTTTTGGGGGGAATGTGTCCTTCTCGTTTCTTTTTGTTTTGCTGGCAAAAGTTTCTGTGCCCAAATACGTTGTTGCTACTTAAGGCAGCGCACAAACATCGTTTTCAATAGACATTCTCCCATAAACCACCTTGCATTATATTATTAAAAGTTGCCATGCCCCATGTCTGATAAGGGCTCTATAAAACTTTACCCTAAAAATGCCAAAATTTAAATCCTAATGATGTTTTGCAAGTTCTATTTAAGGTTAAATGTATCTTCTTGTGCCAAATATTTCCGAGTAAAATACAGTATTTAACAAAAATTCGGGATGCCAAAATCCTTAGGCGAAAGTCCTTGGAGATGAGTTCAGGGTATGGCGCCCACGACAACACTGCAGGGTTATATTTGTGATAACAGTCGGTATATGTACTTTTTACCATCTATATCTCAAAAGAATCTCTAATATAAGACATCTGTTTGACATTCATAATTAAAATGGCAACGACTGGCTATATATAATATATAAATATTTATAATTAATATGTTTACTTTTGGAGGTACGTAATCGCAACATGAGCATTCTGAGAGTAAATAAATGCCTTTAGCTCAGCTCTTCGAAAACAAAGCTTATTATCAAACTAAGAGAGTTCTTAACAGTCTACGAGAGATCTATAAAATAATGTTTAACAAAACACGTTTTTACTAAACAATGCAAAATAAAAGTTATGAGTGGAATGTGGCTTGTAATACTCATTCCGCTGAGTTGTAAATCTTGAGAGGAATTTCCTGGGTAAATCCATGGAACATGGGAGTTCCTCAGTCCCCGAGAGATCTGTTTCTCAGTGCATCGGGTTTCGTTTGTGCTCCGGCATCAGTTCTAGCTTACCCTCGGCCGAAATCAGTACCTCCATCGCAATGAAAATCGACGGACTGACCTTTCTCGGCCTTTCGCTCACTTGGTCGATCGGTTGGGGCTTAATCGTTCCGCAACATCATTGCGATAATTACTTCAGTTACATGAAGGAATCGGATGGTCAATACTTTGGTCTTTTCACCGCGCCCAGAGGAGGAATCAACAATGTGAAATGGGTTGCGGTTTTTAATGCTGACAAAACAGACCAGGTGAGTTAAAATAAGTGTCTCTTAAAAACTACCCTGCCTTACCCTTACTCGGTAATTCACCTTCCAAGTCACACACGGTCGGTTCACTGGAGCTCTATCCTTATAAAGATCAGGCTTTTCGCGATTTACAAAATGGCGAACGGACAAAGGTGTCTGTGCGTTTTCAAGACTTTGGGAACAAGCTGCCAAAGTTGCTACGACTGGAGTTTAATGAAGAGCTGCTCTGTAGTAACCCGGAATGTAAGTTAATGCCTAAAAACCGATTTGCTATATATTCCACAAATTGTATTTTATTCGCCAGACGATCCTCCGTCGAGCACAATGACACGGCAACGGACCTACTCCACTTCGGGACCAATAAAGACTCAAACGGTATATTCACCAGAACCTCGTCATCCTCCACTTTCTTCTTCGACTCAGCCTCGCCCTCCTCCGACTCTGCCCCCTCCTCAAACTAACCTGAAGTCGAATCCCTTCCTTCCATCCCGCTGGCCACCCACTCCAGAGGTAAAACCCCGTATCGAAGGTGATTTCGATGAATGCGGACGTGAGGGCTTCGCTTTCAGCCAGATTGGTGGTACGGATGTGGTCCGCGGTCAGTACCCTTGGCTGGCAGCCCTTTATGTGGGCACTACGAGAGCCACCTACAAGTGCGTGGTGTCGGTAATTTCGAGGCGTACGGTAATCACCGCAGCCCACTGCATATTTGAGAAGGAGACGAACGAGTTGTGGGTGTACCTGGGACGCCACGATCGAGACAAAAATCCGGAGGATGGAGCCAAGTTAGTTGGTGTTTCATCTGTGCACACACCTGATGAGTACAAGGACAACCGCCTGCCTCATACTGATGTTGGTCTCCTTATCCTAGCAGAGACCATTGAGTATACACGTTACATTCGACCTTTGTGCCTGTGGACCTCGGATATGAACGTGCCAAGAAACGAAGGCGATTCGGGAGTCGTGGCAGGCTGGGGAGTGGACATGGACGCCGAAAAGACCCGTTTTCCAAAAATGGTTACTGTCAGTCTGGTGACAAGGACAACGTGTCGCAACAAAATGGCACTGGCTGAAGATTTCATCACCGATCGAACGGTTTGTGCAGGAAATTCACTGAGTCATGGTCCTTGCTTCGGTGACTCAGGAGGCGCTCTGATGGTCCTGCGAAATAACCGGTGGGTTGTCCGAGGTATAGTGTCTCTATCGCCGCGAAAAGGGGAAATCTGCGACCTCAGCAACTACGTTATCTACTGCGATGTATCGAAGTATCTTACCTGGATTAGAAGAAACATGGTATCCTAATGATGTTACCCCCAAAAACTTGCCATACAACTGTAAGCTAAGTTAATATAAATAATTAGTTTTGTGTGAAAATTAAAGAATAAATAAACTATTATTTATAAATTTTAAACTATAGAAAATTAATTTCGTCAAAGTGCATATAGGTGGGTAAAACCACAAGTTAAGAGTATCTCTAGTACAACCCATCGCAAGTATACACTTACGTACATTTTTAATCTGCTCCACTCTCAGTTCTCCCTAGGCAGCGATCACATCAGGTGCTCCCAATTGCAATGACAACCTCCGGTGTGATCTTTTTCTGCCTTTCCTTAACCTATCACCCGTTTTGGTCTTAAATATAGCTAGACATAATTGCAATAAATATATTTCTACATTAAACAAGATTTTGGGAAATACATAAGTGTTGTAATGGCGCCGAAGACGGGAAACTACAGCACTGAGTGGAATGTGATCTTTAATGCCAATAAAACAGGCCAGGTAAGTTGCGCGGGCGATTTTCCTACAAGTACAATACTAGTTTGCATTTTATACTAAGGAGGGGCACATTATGAGTTCATCAGTCATATTCTATGAAGGATAACGGAGAGTCTTACGAAGTGAATTTTTAAAACTTTGGCGACACTATACCCAAAATTCGATTGCGCTGCAGCGATCTGGGAAGTAAGTTAGTACTAAAGTACTTTACTCATTTATTTACACAGTTTATGACTTATATTTTACTGGCTCTATTTTACTTCCAACCATCGCAAACCCGGAACTTCAGGATTGGACCAAGATGGGTACAAAAAATCTGAACGATCACAGCCTTTTGTATCCTTTGCGCTTTCTGCGTGACCTTATGAGGAAGGTAAACTGGTCGGAGTTTTTTCGCACACATACCCCATCAGTACAATGGCAATCCTGTGCCGGATACTGACATTGGACTTCTGATCTTGACTAAATCGAAAGTTTACACAAGATACATTAAACTTCACTTCCTATGAAGGGTATTGCTGCCTATGGATTGGACAAGGATGCCCAGAAAAAGCGCTTCTCTAAATGTTTTTACGTTTTACGTGTTTTTACGTCAGAAGCCGAGGATTTTATTACCGATCGAACTGTCTGCGCCGGAAGCTCACAGGGACATAGACCATACTTCGGCTATTCGGGAGTGGCACTAATAAAGCTTCGAAATAATTAAGTGCGAAGGAAATAATTTAATCTTTATTTTTTTGTTATATTATATGTAGATGTTCATATTTTTCGTTTGTACTTGGAATTTTTTTTGCACTCAAAAGCAACTGAGAAGGTAATCTATGAGAGGGTTAGATGTTTTTAAAGAGTAGTTCAATACTCGATTAATAAAAACTTGTTCTTGCTAATTTCTTGTTGTGTTGTTTGCTGCTCATAAAGTGCACTGCTACTCTCAAACGGTTAGTTTCTCTAGTTAACGTTGATTAGATTCCCGAGTTTGCTCCCTGGCCGAGCCCGAGTATATACTTGAGTAAGTTTTAATGTGCTCCAGTCTCAGTTTTTCCATGACAGCGGTCAGAACACGTGCTCCCCGTTGCAATGAAGATCAGGGGTCTGATCTTCTCCGCTCTATTTCTCAACCTATCAATAGTATTGGGCTCGAATGTCCCTAGCCAAAATTGCGATAAATATTCTTCTTACAACAAAAATTCAATTGGGAAATACATTGATGTTATTACTGCGTCACAGACGGAAAACCATAGTATTGAGTGGAAGGTGATCTTCAATGCTAATCAAACTGGACAAGTAAGCTGAGCGTGTACAAGTTTTGGATATACTCAATACATGTTTTGGAATCTGATTGGGTGTTTATCGTTGCAGGCATTTTCTTTGAAGAACCATTCATTAGAAAATGGAGAATCACAAAAAGCGTTTGTGAGTTTTCAAAACTTTGGCGACACTTTGCCCAAACTTCTTCGATTTGAGCTCAATGGAGAAGTGGTCTGCAGCAATCATGGCTGTAAGTTAGAACTCAAAATAATAATCATATTAATCTACATTTTCATTTCTGTGACATTTGCGACTTATTTGTAAACATTTTGATTAATATTTTAATAGTCGATACTTCGTCGAGTGTTATGCCACGATATCACCGTATACCCAGAGCTACTGAAATGAAAGAAACCCAAAACATTCGACGTTTATCGCCTCCCCAGCCCCCTTCCTGGGCAGTTAGAAACGAGTCTGGTTTTTTTATAAATGGGGTGTTGCAGCCGGAGGAACAGTCGACCACTACGCTTAAGCCTCTTTCTTTTTCACTACTGGCCCCAGCAGCGTACTACAACTCTACTGGGACATATTACGATGGGGTGCTGCAGACAGAGAAACCATCGACCGCTACGCTTAAGCCTTTAGCCATTTCAAGACTTGGCCCAGCAGCGTTCCTCAATTCTACTGGGACATATTACGATGGAGTCTTGCAGACAGGGCGATCACCTGACTTTGTTCCCCGTGTTGTTGGAGACTTTGATGAGTGCGGAAAGGAGGGCTTTGCCACCGCCCAAATTGGCGGGGAGGAATTGACCCGTGGCCAGTACCCCTGGCTGGTTGCCCTATATAGCGGCCAGGAGTCGGTAACATACAAGTGCGTGGGGTCTCTGATCTCGAAACGGACTGTGATTACGGCGGCACACTGTGTTTTTAACCAGAGTCCGGGAGACTTGTGGGTATATTTAGGTCGGCACGACCGAAGTCTGAATACCGAGGCTGAAGCTGAACTGGTCGGGGTTTCCTCCGTGCACACTCCACCGCAGTACAATTCTGTGCCGGATGCGGACGTTGGACTCCTGATCTTGACTAAGTCGATAGTTTACACCAGGTACATTCAACCTCTATGCCTGTGGACTTCCGATCTTACAATACCTGGCAATGAAGGCGAGTTAGGAGCAGTAGCTGGCTGGGGATTGGACATGAATGCCCAGAAGACGCGCTTTCCTAAATCTGTTTACGTCCAGCTAGTTGATCGGGATCGATGTCGATACAAAATGCCACGAGCTGAGGATTTTATTACCGATCGGACTGTCTGCGCGGGAAACTCACGTGGCCATGGTCCCTGCTTCGGTGATTCGGGAGCGGCACTGATAGTCCTGCGGAACAACCGTTGGGTTATCCGGGGAGTTGTCTCTTTATCGCCACGGCTGGGCGTTATTTGCGATCTTAGCCAATATGCCATTTACTGTGATGTTTCTACGTATGTCGACTGGATTCGTGAGCATATGGTAGTGTGAGAAATTATTATGGTTAAGTCGTATATTGGTTTGTTATTATTAAAAATATTAATGGTTTTAAATAGATTCCATTAAGGTAAAATTAGTACAACAACATTTGATAAAATGTGTGGAATTTTTAAATATATACAATTTAAAATTATCACTCATAGTTTTGTTTTCCTAATCAGATCAGGCTAATCTTTAATCTTCGTGTTCATTTTAAACAGTATTACTATTTCTTTTGAAGTGTTATTGTATGGGAGAGTAGTAAAGAAAATATTTACAGAGAAAAAAAATTATGCGAAATGTAGTTCTATATAATTTTTTACTCAAGAGCAGTTTGTTTTAAATCGAATCTCCTTTTAGCGTAATTGTTCAAACCATGGATTTTCATTGAACCTTAACTTAAAGCGGAGAGGTTCAGGCTTGAATTAAAAATCTGGGCTAAAAAAATTAAAGAGAGAAAAGAGAGTGATTTTATATTTTTTTTATTTTAATCTTTTTGTTATTTTTATATAGATATTCCCATGTTTATAATAGGGGATTTTTTGTTTTCATTGCGCTCAGCAGATCAGTTTTAAGAGGGGAGGTTTATTACCCTGTAAACAAGGTTTTAAAAGGTAGTTTGATGTAACCAAAATCTATATTCTGAGCCCTGTAAATAATTTTAAGATTGAAATCAGAAAGTTACTCTTATAAGTTATTAAAATATATTTTTATAAGTTATAATAAAGTAGCGCTTATACAATCATTGATTTTATGTTTTTTTTTTTTAACTTTTTTTATTTTTTTAGAGAACTTTAAAATTATTTTTTTAAATTATTTTTATTATAGCTTTGTTCCTTTAGAATCTTAAACTTTTTGTAATATTTTTTTTTTAAATTAATTCAATTAATGGGAACCAATGATTGTGGTAGTTTATGAAACCAGCTACTTGTTTTGCTGAAAGCCGTGCCTTATTGGCTCTGCACGATGCGGAATTTCCAGTTTGATCAACGTCCAGCGTCTATACCGTGACTCAGAGAACCTGGGTCGAGATGTGCTCGAGAACCGCTGGAGATTCGCCAGCCTAGAATTATTTGCTCACTGGGGCTTGTCGCGTGCGGATCTGAATACTAGTAATCCGATATTTCGGAAGGTATGGGTACGTTTAAATTGGTCATCGTAGTAGTACTAATCACCGTTACCGGAGGCCAACTCTTGCCGGAGAACACGTGCCCCACCTATTTCCAATACGTGAACGATGCCTTTGGAGGAGTCCAGGGAGAGTTGACCTTACCTGGACTGGCTCAGGGCAGAAATCGCATCGATGTGCGATTCACTCAGCGCGGCGATCAAGACGTATGATATGATAATATGTGGGATTTATGATTCGACAACCGATCTGACCACTTCGCATTCCACAGGCCTCTGCAGTGGGTGCTCTGAGCCCCTATCCAGACGAGAGGGCGGCAAGGGCCAGTCCGGCGCGATTCCGGGTCAGCCTCCGGCCGAACCTTTCCACGGGAATTCTGCCCAAGTTGTCGCGGCTCTCCTACAATGAGCAGCTCTTATGCTCGGCCAGCGAATGTGAGTTTAGGGACATTAGTTTCAAGAATGAAACCACCATAATGAGATTATATTGAAGCTTATGTGGTTACTCAAAAAGACTCACTAATCATTGATAACCTCTTCAGATGGTCCACCCAATAGTTTTTTCAACCGCTTCTACGAACTGCATGTAAGTGGACCTCCGGTACCCTTACCCTCCTCCAGCTTTACGCCCTTCCCTCGAGATCCATTCGACGTGGATGTTCAGACAATTTTCTTTGGCCCTGGCTCCCAAGGCAATGAGGTAATCCCTGGCTTCACCCAGAGCTGGCGGTCATCGGTGATCAGTAACAGGCCAGAGGTGCTCCCACCAGCAGTGCCCACATCACCAGCCCTTAGGCCTAGTTCGTGGCCGACGTTTTCGGTTCCAGGACCTCCTCCAACTCAGTCCCCAACTCAAGCGCCGATTCCAAGCACAGCAGCACCACCGTCCCCACCACCAAAAATCCCAGCACCATCGGTGGAAACTGTTCTTCCCCCTGATTCTGCTCCGAGGATTAGCCCTACACCGCCAATTTCAAACGCAAACGAAGTGTGCGGCCAAGAGGGTCGATGGTCATCATTCATTTACAAGGGACAGGAATATAGTCGCGGAAAATATCCGTGGCTTACGGCCATTCATCACGCCAGGTCGGGCCAGCGATCCTTTGTGTGCGGCGGATCTCTTTTATCCACGAATATGGTCATCACCGCCGCTCACTGCGTTTACAAAATGGAAACTCATAATATTTTTATTGAGCTGGGCCGCCATGATCTCTACGACAACGACGAGATTGTGGCGGAGGTGCGGAATGTAAAGGGATTGCTGCTTCATCCAGAATATAATAGTCGCACCCAGCCCGATGCGGATGTCGCTTTGGTTACCATGGAGCGACCCGTCGTGTAAGTATTAACCTTAAAGGAAATTTTAAATAATTTAAAATAATTAGAAAATATAATTTTTGGTACAGGTTCAACGACATCATCAGCCCAATTTGCCTTTGGACAGTGGAGGAAAGCAACACATTAGCCACCTCAGGATTCGTTGCTGGCTGGGGCCAGGATGAGGTGGGCAACGAGAAGACCCAGTACCCTCGGGTCGTCGAGACTGAGTTTGGCAGTGCGACAGAATGTGCCAGTCGGTGGAGGGTTCCAAGGGTAACGGATCGCACCCTCTGCGCCGGAAACCGTGATGGCTCCGGGCCTTGCTTCGGCGACTCTGGTGGCGGACTGATGGTCCGGCGACACAATCGATGGCTTCTTCGGGCCATCGTGTCGGTGGGTGAACGGGAGCGCAATCGATGCCAATTAAATCAATTCGTTCTTTACTGTGATCTGGCCAAGCATCTTGCCTGGATAAACGACAACCTCCTCTGAGATTCGGAATATCTATTTAAGTTATAAAAATAGAAATAAAAACTCAAGCCAAAGCAAGTGCCTTCAGTTGTTTAATAATTTCTGGCAAAACGAGTTTTCGATTCACAGAATCCAGAGACTTGATGGATGATTGATTTCAAAAAAAAAACACTAAATAATAATCTGTAGGGGCCAAACAAAATTTGTTGATACCCTTTGAATGAGTAATTTGATTGTATTTTTCGTTACTATCAATATTTTATAGTTCTTTTCTGAATTTTGTTCATATTACAAAACTTCATAAATTTATACAAAAGGAAAGATACCTAAAAACAAAGGTTCGATTTATTTTTTCCAAGTTTTAAATACTCCTTCTAGCATCCATCCGTTTGAAAATTTTTTTAAGCTCCTAGGTATTTCCAACAGTTTTAATATTTACAATACTTTGATCGTTTCTATTTTTCTTAAAAGGGTCTTAAACGATTGTCTTTGTGTACTACAAGCAAATCAATAGAGACATATGTATGTATATATGTGAGTCTCATTAGTGCATTAATATGCAAATATTATATTTAATCAAGGTAAAATATAAATGGGAATTCCGGCGCACAATTATCACTCATGAATGAAACTATGCAGTAGGAAAATCTCTCTGAGCGGAGAGAAGACCTCAAGAGTTAGAATAATTCGAAATCTTAAGAGAGTTACTAAGGTCCGACTAACTACTCACTCATTGAGTGATTTTAAGATCGCTTGAGTAGAAGTTTGTGTTAATATAAACTGGAAAAGTGCTCGACTAATGCAGTTACAATGGGTTCTCTATCGGTAGCGATCGCCCTAACGCTACTGGTGACTCTTCCAAAGTATGGACTTGGCCAGCTTCCCAGGAATTACTGTTCTCGGTATTTCGCGTACCAAGGCTACAATGGACAATATATTGGCCTGGTTAACGTTGCCTTCAATCCCCAATTTAATAACCACACACTTTTCCTTGAGTTTTCCCAGCCAGGATATCATGAATTCGTAAGTAAAACACTTTCAATGGAAGTTTTCGCGCGTAATCTTATCACTTTGTGTCTTTGCAAATGGGATGATGACAATTGTTTTTGCAACAGTAGAATAAACACAAATACAATTATTAGTTTCTATAAAAAAAACTAGTTTTGATTTAAGAAAAATATCCCGCAATTGAAAAATGCAAAGGGACAACTAATTACAACAGATAACAATAATTCCACAAAAATTTTTAAATTTTCATAATTTTAGGAGTATGTAGGAAATCTGGGTACATTGGATAGTGACAATACAATTCAGGAAAATCTGAGAAGTGGCTGGTCAATACGGTATCGCGTGGATTTTCCAATTCCCAATGTGCCGCCAAAGATCACCCGCATTCAGGTGGACGACGAAAGGCCACTTTGCAGTGACCAACAATGTATGTAAAATGTGTTGAACAAATTATAATGGCACTAATCCATATATTCCACAGATTCACCTCCAAGTACCGCCATTACACTACAGCACACGCTTACCACATCTGTGGTTCGTGTCCCAGGGTCGGTTGTACGACCTCAGCAGGGGCGAAACCCGTCATGGGGAAATCCCAATTCGATTCCCTCAGGACCCGTTTCTTCGCCACAGGGAAATGTCGAATATATGGAACTGGAGGCAGTCGGGAAGTCAAGAACGGCCTCAGGATTTGCAACATCTTGGGAACCGGTCTCCTCTTCAAACATCACATCATTTAAATTGGAAGACAGTGGACCCGTTTCCACGGATGCGCTATCCCTGGAGGCCACAGGTGTGGCCAGCGTGGCCTCGGGCTTTGCTACATCATGGGAACCGGTTTCATCTTCAAAAAACAGTGATTCAAACCGCCAAACACTCCCTGGGGAAAATCTTTCGAGAGGAAATTCCAACTCAAGTCCAACGGGACCCATTTCGGCGATAACATCATCTGCCTCATCAAGCGAAACAATTGCTTGTGGACGGGAGCGAACTACTGCTACTACGCCACTGATCTTCCAGGGCCAGTCCCTAGAGCGAGGGCAGCTGCCCTGGCTGGTCGGCATTTTTGAACGGCGCGAAAGGAACGGACCGAGCTTCATCTGCGGTGGTACTCTGATTTCTACCTCCACAGTCCTCACGGCGGCCCACTGCTTCCGGTTTCCCGGAAGAGACCTGCCCGCCAGTCGGACGGCCATTTCCCTGGGACGCAACAGTCTGGATATCCTTTCGCCCGGCGAGTTCCGAGGCGTCTCCCAACTACTCATCCATGAAAACTACCGGTTCGAGCAAATGACAGAGGCAGACTTGGCACTTCTTCGGATGGATCAGCCTGTGAGGTTTACCGACTTTATTGTGCCCATCTGTTTGTGGGACACCAGTCAACGACTTGTTCTGCCCCAGGGATATCGGACATACGTGGCAGGGTGGGGACCCGACGAAGCGGGCACCGGTAACACGGACGTGTCCAAAGTCACCGATCTAAGCATCGTGTCCGAATCCAACTGCACCCTGCAATTGCCCCATGTGCTGGTTCAGCCGAGCAGCCTCTGCGCCAAGAAAGTGGGAGCCGGTCCGTGTGCCACTGACGGAGGCGGACCTCTAATGTTGCGCGAGGGCAACGTCTGGATTCTGCGGGGAGTTATTTCCGGGGGCAGGATTAACGTCAAGGAGAGGACCTGTGACCTGACCAAGCCGACCGTCTTCACCGATGTGGCCAAACACATTGACTGGCTGCGCCGAAATATATGGAATTGATGATTGCAATTAAAAACCAAAAACAGTTCCGTTTGCGTTAAGGGATTTTCAAAAAATATAAATGTATGTATGTATCCGTTACACTGCAGTTTGCTCACTGAAACAGCCGAGTGGAATCTGAGCTGTCTACTACGCTACGGGTAATTCTAGCTGATATCATTAATCAATGCAACAATAAATAACAACAATCATCAAACTGATATACTCTAAAACTGTGTTTTATACTTGTATAAAAAAAGTATGTTTGATTTTAATATGCTCATCATAGAGCTACACTGCGTATGCGCAATACTGAAAATATTCTGTTTTATTTCAAATTATTATATTTCTCAATTTAGTTTCTGTTTCTGAAAGTCCTACAACCTTTGACATAGGGTATGATTCTAATCAGTTAGGTCTGATCCGGTTCAGAGAGAGTTGTTTAAGCGTTAATCTCTTCTATTACCGAACAGGGGAGCTTAACTATTCCAATAGATCGGAAGCTGAGAAAATAAAAATCATTCATCGCTCGACTCTCATTGAGTGCGGTTTTCGCGAGTATCGAACATAAGATTCGCGTCATTCGAGACCGTGTGTGGTTGTTGTCATAAATATTTATTGCCCGGATAAGTTGCAATCGCCATGTGCCAGATGCGCGTTGGTTTCCTGGTTCTAGTACTGCATTGTATATGGACTTGTTTTGGTCAGAATCTACCGCATATATCTTGCCCAGGGATCTTCCAATATCTGAGCTACAGAGGTCAAGTCATTGGGCTTTTAACCCTCTACCTGGATTCGCGCGCCGAAGAAAATGTCGTGAGCATTGAGCTTTCCCAGCCGGGTAGGAATTCTGCGGTAAGGAAACCGTGGACTCCACCATGCCACTTTATTATGTCAGCACGCTGTTATCAAGCGTTGACCTCCCTTTTAGATTGGATGCGCGATTTTCCCCACCGTCAGTCCAATTGGCTTTTGCGAGCTCAATGCTTAAGTAGATTTTCATGGGAATTGCAGTGCTGATAAGACAAATCGCCGCCAGGGAAAACCCCTGTCCCCTCGTTCAGCTCGCTCTCAAAACTGAAGATTTTTGTTGATGTTTTTACCCCGCTCTCACAGTAGAATTTTCCTCAAAGTCGTGCGACCGGTTTTTGTTCTGACTAATACGATTACACCTAAAAAAGATTCGATAATATGATAAAATATTATATAGACTTGTTAAATAAGGGTGTTTTGGTTTAAACAAACAATAACAATATTCAAAGATTTTTTTAAAATTATTTCACTAAAAATAAATTATTTTGAAAAGAATAAAAAAAAATATTGTACATTATATTTCTCCATGTGTTTTGAACACTAGCTAAGCTGCCGTTCTTATTATTCATTCCAATCTTTGGTATTACCTGTTGACTGTTTTTACGTTGTAGCGGGCCCCCATGACGTTTTATCATAAGGTTTATCATTCAACTTCCTATGTATTTTTTGTTATGCAGAGTGATCCGGGTGATCTTACTATCATAGAATCCGAAGACGAAGTTATCTTTCGTTTGAGAAACAACGAGCCCATACGCTATCGAATCGATTTTCCCACTGCGGGAGTGATTCCAAAACTGACAAAGGTTTCCGTCAACGATGTGGTGATATGCCAATCATCGCCGTGTAAGTTATATCTTTTATTTGTCTGAATTTCTATATTAAATTTTTCTTTCTCATATATATATTTTCAACATAGTTCGCGGTAAAAGCACAAAGTTGTCTTTGTCTCGTTATCTGAAAACGACCATACCGTTGGTACCCCTGCAGCCACAAAGACCTTCACAACCGTCTATTTCTGGGCAAGGTCAGGGACTGATATTCCAGTCCGCCCAGCAGCCACAACGGCGACCGCAAGTAGAGGAGGAGTTCATAGGTGCTGGGAATTCCACCAATGAATTTGTACCAACCGTATCCCGACCTGAACCTCGACCTCAACCCACAACACCACGGCCCCGGCCAGAGCCCGCACCTTCTTCTTCAACTCCGGTCTCTACGCCGACCCAGGTTGCATCTGCAACCAATTACCCCAAGACCATTGGCCAACTGAACGGAGTTTGCGGTCGGGAAAAGGCGATCCAGACGCCATTCATCCACGGGGGCGAAGCAGTAGAACGAGGTCAGCTACCATGGATGGTTACCCTTTTGGAGCACGTGGGAAAGGAGTACAACTTCCTTTGCGGTGGCACTCTGATTTCAGCAAGGACAGTAATATCTGCAGCTCACTGCTTCCGCTACGGCAGTCGTAATCTTCCGGGCAGTCGCACGACCGTCTCCTTGGGTCGCAACACGCTTGACTTCTTCACGCAAGGAGAGCTAAGACGGGTGTCGCTGCTTTTGCTTCACGATCAGTATAATCCTGCCGTCTATACGGACGCGGACTTGGCTTTGCTTCAACTATCGGAGCATGTTGAGTAAGTAGAATTCTTTGATTTTAAATCGTTCAAGATATTTCGGATGAAAATTGGTCAAGATATAGTCATCAATGGGGCTCAATTGGCCATCCATGCATTTTTCACAATTTTTGAAGGGGACTCCCCAGAAAAATGATAAAAAATCTAACAAAAATTTTGTTTCTAGATTTTAATGCAGGTTCATTAAGAATCGAACTACAAATCGTTTAAGGTGTTCCGCTCAAGAATCGGATAAAAATTGGTCAAGATATAGTCATCAATGGGGCTCAATTGGCCATCCATGCATTTTTCACAATTTTTGAAGGGGACTCCCCAGAAAAATGATAAAAAATCTAACAAAAATTTTGTTTCTAGATTTTAATGCAGGTTCATTAAGAATCGAACTACAAATCGTTTAAGGTGTTCCGCTCAAGAATCGGATAAAAATTGGTCAAGATATAGTCATCAATGGGGCTCAATTGGCCATCCATGCATTTTTCACAATTTTTGAAGGGGACTCCCCAGAAAAATGATAAAAAATCTAACAAAAATTTTGTTTCTAGATTTTAATGCAGATTCATTAAGAATCGAACTACAAATCGTTTAAGGTATTCCGCTCAAGAATCGGATAAAAATTGGTCAAGATATAGTCATCAATGGGGCTCAATTGGCCATCCATGCATTTTTCACAATTTTTGAAGGGGACTCCCCAGAAAAATGATAAAAAATCTAAAAAAAATTTTGTTTCTAAATTTTAATGCAGATTCATTAAGAATCGAACTACAAATCGTTTAAGGTGTTCCGCTCAATAATCGGATAAAAATTGGTGAAGATATAGTCATGAATGGGGCTCAATTGGCCATCCATGCATTTTTCACAATTTTTGAAGGGGACTCCCCAGAAAAATGATAAAAAATCTAAAAAAAATTTGGTTTCTAGATTTTAATGCAGATTCATTAAGAATCGAACTACAAATCGTTTAAGGTATTCCGCTCAAGAATCGGATAAAAATTGGTCAAGATATAGTCATCAATGGGGCTCAATTGGCCATCCATGCATTTTTAACAATTTTTGAAGGGGACTCCCCAGAAAAATGATATAAAATCTAAACAAATGTTGCTTCTACATTTTAATGTAGATTCATGCATTTTGTAATATGTTTAAGGGACCAATGATTTTACGTTTAAAAATCGGTTAAATCATGGTAAACATGTATTCTTCATTATTTTACATATTAGACTTTTCTATTTTAGAATCACCCAGCTCTAATGTTTATTTGTTTTACAGATTCGGTGACTTCATTCGCCCCATTTGCTTGTGGAATGAAAACTACCTGGTGGACCTCCCTTCGGGCCACAAATCCTACGTAGCCGGTTGGGGCGAGGACGAGCTAGGCAACCGCAATTCGCGGCAACTTAAAATGACGGATACAGACATTATAACTCAGCAGGAGTGCCGTGGTAATCTCTCCGTGGACAATGTGCGCTTCGTCACCTCGCGAACCATTTGCGCCAGCAACTCGAGGGCCGCGGGTCCCTGCAACGGGGATTCCGGTGGGGGCCTTATGTTACAGGAGCAGGATGTCTGGTTATTGCGTGGCGTCGTCTCCGCCGGCCAAAGGTTGAGTAACAGATGCGATCTGACCCAACCCGTGATCTATACGGATCTGGCCAAGCACTTTGAGTGGTTGATGCAAAACATATGGTTTTAAGAAATTAGTAAAAAGACTTTCCCAATGAAGTGCCAAAATAAATAAAAGAATATTGTATAAAAATATTAAACAGTCGTTTTGTATTTAAATGATTAAATATTTATTCAGATTTTGTTTCAAAACGAGCCTGTTTATGAAAATTTTAATTCTTTATAATCTAAATAATAATGGATAAAACATTTTTGAAGAATAATCTTTAAACTATCGTTAAAGCATAAACTACATCCCGAAATTCGTATACATTAAGTCTACCCTCGGCAAAGGCATTACAATTGGAAGATTGCATCGGTTTGCAGTTCTGTCAGCTGCAATTTGTCAAAACCGGCAATTGTATTCCATTTGCCTGCAGTTGAGACAGTCGTTTGTCGCATTTTGTGTCCCCTAATGAGAATAAATGTGGGAGGGCGGCCGAAGTCGCGGGCAAATCGCTAGCAAGTCGCTGGGAAATCGCCTGACTGGCACAACAGGTGCCTGCCACTCTGCCTTTCGAGTTCTCTTTCTCTCCATGTGAGAGCTGCGCTGCGCAGATACTTCGCCTGTTGTACGAAATATCCTGTTGAATTAAATTATCGGCTCCGGCAACGGCAGAACCGAAAGTTGTTGCATACAACACGGCATTGGTCGTGAGTTCCCGCCGTACTTTGGCTGGCAGTCGTGCGTGTCCGGACAGTCGATGTTCAGCCTTCAGTTCGCACGGTTCGGCAAGTGGCATCAGGCAGCAAACACAAACCATAATACACCGAAAAATTATATGAATACTATTCGCAGGGGTAGGTTTTTGAAGGCCCCGCGAGCCGATCGAGAATTCTTGACGGGAGTGCGTGTTTAGCGATTGTGTGTGAGTGCGTGTCTTTCGAAACTTTGTGTGTGAGTGTGTGTGGGTTAACAAGGCGCATAATTAATCATTCAAGGAGTGGCCAAGCCAATAGACTTTAATGCAGCAATTTGCCTGATTGATGGCTGGACATGGCTCGGAAACATCGTTCCGTATCGACGGGAATCGCAGTCTATTAGCAGAATGCTGCATTGCCGCAGCGGGGCAATTTATTGCCAACAAAAACAACAGAAGAATCAACAACAACAACAACTAGAAGACAAATTTTGCAACTAGAAAATATTCTGTGACCCGGTCCAGCTACCTCTTCCATTCACTATTGACCATTTCCAATCCTGAAACCTGATTCCGAAACGAATCCTCGGTCCTTGTAATGACAAATGCAATGAGGGCGATTGCTGCACTCGCTTTAACGGCGGGCGTGGCGGTGGTCAGTGGCAGCACCAGCCTTGGCAGCAGCACCACCAGAACCGCCATCAGCAGTACCACCCCCGCCGGCACCACTACGAGCCACATCAGTCACAATGGCAATGGCAACAGTAGCACAGCCAATGGCACTCTGCTGGACGCCGATCACCTGCCGCTGCAGCTGACGACCGCCAAAGTGGACCTGGACATTGAAATCGACATCCAACTGCTGACAAATGGCTACGATGGCACAACGGTGAGTGAATTCCTTTTCAGCGCCGGGGAAGGAGCAAGAATGTGGGCCAGGACTGGTCGATTGTATTTATGTGGCTGCCATCGAAGCATTCGTTGGGCTTTGGCTTTATGTCTCTGGCGCAGCTCGTAAAATACGCTGCACTGCGGAAAAATTAGATGCCATAAATCGTGGACTTCTTTCGAGATATTAAAGCTCTTTTCTAAGCTAACTTGAAGATAGCCAAATAATACAAATATGCATCTTTAAGTAAAGTCTTTCTTTGTTCCAATATATGTAATATAAAAGTGTCCCATAACATTTCGAATTTCATTATCAATAAAATACTTCACCATTCAACAAACTCTCCCATGAAAAGGACAATCTTTTAAACTTTGTTTCCGTGTAATGACAGGTATCCGTTGTTGCCACTATAATTTACAATGTCTCTGTCTCTCCCGATCGGATGGCATGGCTTGGCCTGGCCTTTATGAACATTTCATTTTTATTACGTGCTCGCATATTTCCAGAACATTGTCGTATAGTTTTTGTGGTTCGTTGGTTTATGGGGCGTATACGCAATCCAGAAGCATAGCAGATTGCTTAATGAATTATCAAGACGAAAGTGTTGCAGGGATGGATAGGATAGTGGGAACAGAACAAAGAAAATATCCTTTAAATTTAAACTGATGGTGTGCCTTTAGGGAAAAGTGGCAGAAGTGGGAGTGTGAGTGATTAACACACAATTATCACATATCTCATCACCCACACACCAACTCCACGATATTTAATACAAAGTTTAAATTATAACAAAAGGTCTGCTGTCTGCTGGCAAAGTTTCCTGCTTTGGCATTCCTTTTAATTTATTTCACTTCTAGCCATCCAGCTGGTAAATGAAAATGAATGCGAGCCTCATTAGCAGCCAGCACATGAGGAAACTTTGGCCCAAAAACACGCACACCGGCGTGTGCCTTCACCTTCATCGATGCATAATCCTGTTTTCAAAACCATGTTGGCAAAGGAACTCCGTCAAGGATGTATATGCCGAAACCAAAGTTTATCCCTTTTTTCATTCTGGTGTGAGTGTGTTATTATCTTTTTTTCCCTCCTTTTTTTTGGGAGAACGAGCAATTTACGTGCTTGGTGTGGCAGCAGCAGGAAAGGATATAGCACACATACACACACCTCCTCCACTTGGGAGATATAGATCTAAATACTTGTCGGTCGGAACGACAAAGTTGTGCTCATCTGTTCGCACGTTTAACTTTCAATCGAATGTAAATAATGAGTATCACGTCGCTTGGCAAACGTTGAGGCGCACAAACTCTGGTATATGTCAACACACATTTTCCGCATAAATAGATTTTCAACTAATTTATAAACTGTGATTTAGTCAACGATAATGTTATTTATGTTCGCAACTCAATTGGTTCAATTTGCGCCCATCCATATAGTTTGGCTAATTGCCCATGTTTACTATGCATTTTGTTTTTGATGATTTGGCCAGACAACTTAAGCCCCGGATCTCAATTGCAGTTAGTTAACCGCAAGTTGACAGTGACATTTGGCCTCGGTGGCGGCGTAGTTGTTGTGTGCCGCCACCAAATTGCCTCTCATTCTTTTCGCCTGGCACTTGCATTTTGATTTGCATAATGCATCACGCATACGCCGCGTTGTGCCATCTAATTGAATTATTAATCTTCACTCGACAAATCTTGCCTTCGCCATCCGTATGAAAAGTGCATGCATAAAAGAATAGGTTTATGTTCGTTCTTCTTTCGATTCTCCTACTCCTCTTGGGTCTTTTCTTTCTTGCTTCATTGTGTTTTTCCGTTCTTGGATGGAATTCCGCATTTTCTATTAGCCATAAGCCGTCGCAGAGAAAAACTTTGGCTTTCCATTGTTCGCAGACTTTGCATAGCAATAATAATAATAAAATATTAATAGCGTTATTTGTTATTGCTGCTGCCATGTGGATGGCGAATTGCGGATTTCGGATTGCGCTTTCCATTCAGAAATCGGTTCCATTGTTTGGCCTCATCCCCCCACCAGCCAGCCACCATGGATTTGTGTGTTTTGCCTCTGGAATTTGCGCAAATTTCCGCCAGCAATTTGTCCAAATCAATTGGCAACGAGGCGTCCGAGGGGCGTGGCTCGATAGCTATCGATAGCCCGGCCAATTGAAATTGGGTTTTGAACAGTAATTGTTTAGTAGGAGGCTTGAATCAATAATCTGTTATAGTTATAACACAATATAAAATGTAAAGTTCAAAATTTAAACACTTCAGCAATTTATTGCTAAAGAATTCCAATTCACTATTTTTTGATAAAATTAATGTTTATGAAACTCTTTTAAGATTTTAAAGTTTTACTATCAAAGGAGTATTTAATTTAAAACGTTTTTTTCTTAGATCTTAGATTTTTATCCCAGACCTACTAAATGAAATGCTTTTTGCCAGATCCATGAGCTTGTAAAAGTATGCTCCAAGAGTTCCGCTCATAAAGTTGTGAACACATCTTTTTATTTAGTTGGGCTCCTCTGCAATTTTCAATTAGATCGTTCCTGACTGAAATGGAGATGGGGAAGTGGACTTGGATAAATGTCAGCAATTTCGCCTAATTAAATGTGTGTGACAGCTGCCTGCCATAATCACGGGGCTAGCCGCAATATAAATGAGCTGTATGCTGGGGACCTCCCTCCCGAATCGGGTCACGAGTGTATGGTTGTACTATATATCGCACATATGAGTGTATATATATAGATAGAAACCACACGAGCATGCATGGCAGCACCCTCGCAAAGGGAGATGCAACCTGCCATCAGGGGCATTCCACATTAATCTTGGCCACAAGAGCCACAATGTGTTTGTATAGGTGTTGCCGTTTAATTGCACCAACCAACGCGTCAGCCCTCCAGTCTTCTTGCCTTCCCTATTTGCCAATGAGCGAAAAGGTAGGGAAAATAAAATAGCTGGTTACTCGTGATTTTTATGTTGTCTACATTTCGTTTACCTCTTTTTTCGCTCTCGTGCTTTTTTTTTAGAGCCAGGTGAATGGGTTTAAGGATTCTTGATGGGCAGTCAAAGGGATTCGGTAAACCCAAAAAGGCTCGCTGCTGATTGACCATAAACCCAGCTTTTATGTGCTAGTTTGGTCCTTGTGTATCCTTGGGTATGTGTGTGTGTGCTGGTTTGGTCCTTTTTCTGCCTTTTTGCTGGCATTTTTTATGGTTCTCCTATACGAGTCGAGCCCCTGGTATCAGTGACTCGGCAATGACACAAAAGTGCAGAACGATTACTCGTGACAAGTCAATTTAATGGGGCCACGAGCATATAATATTCGTAGGACCAGGGGTCATGTCAATCATCCTCGTCGAGTGTGCAACTTTGCCAAATATTGCCAAAATACAGTATAGATAGACGACTACATTTTTATTGGAAATCGGAAATGGAACAACTCAACACCGAAAGAAATTCTTTAACGTTTATCAAGTATATATAGAAAGTGGTTTAGCTTTCTACAAAATGATATATTGTAATCCTATAGAAAACCTACTAAAAACACTTTTAACCTAATGTAAGCTTTTAAAAGGCAATATTTATTTCAACTGACTGGACCACTAGGGAAGGAATTTCCTGGATTAAAAAAAGCTTTTTTTAGCCAAAGCCAAGTGTCTGACAACGTAAAATCTAGGGGATTGGAAGCTATGTGCATTTTTTTCATCACTTTTTTATACCACTTTTCAATTGAAACAAGTGCAGTTGCACTGATGTATCTATATTTACACTTTATGCTATATGTGTTTGTAAAAGTGTTTGTGTGTCTTTATCCTTGTGAGGGTGTGGGTGTAGGTGGTGTGTGTGAGAGTGCCAGCGACACTTGTACGAGTTAACGGGATGTTTGTGTTAAGCACACAACTGAGCGCCAGTGACTGACAACGTTCACTTGCCAAGTTTTTCACTCCAGTTCAGTGGAAAATCCGAAAAGGAAAAAGATATGCCATAGGAAAAAGTACAAAATCGATGGATTTAAGAGGAGTTGAGGAGCTCGGGTCCTGAAGATTAAGTGGGGTAGCAGGATAGATTGAGTGATGGGAGATAGGGACTGCATTTACAATCAGCTTAAGAGCCGCCGTCTGCATCTACTCCGGCTTCTCCTCCTGGATATCTCTCCCTTCCCGAGTCTGTCATGCCCACTTTCATGTAGAATAGCATCTCCCAGCGAGTCATCTCCTGTTGCAGCTAATTATCCTTACGTTGACAATCTACCCCGGGCCAATCAGCAAGGCAATCTGCTGAATGGAAGCCAACACAAACAGTCCTCCTCACTCGACCCTCCGAAAATTGGCAGGAACTAGAGCAACTGCGTGGCAAACAACTCTGCAACATTTGATTTGCAATCCCGAAGAGACACAATCGAAGGCCAACACTGTGGCTTGGCTAATTAGAAATGGGTTTAAGATAATGATGAAATCGTAAAGACCGAGCTTTAAGAAAGGAATTTTTCGAAACACTACCTACTACCTACAACTTATCATGCCGTTTAAAATCAATAGTTCTAATCAATAACAAAGTTCCAAAAAATGGTCACGTCCTTTTTGGTATACAATTTTAATAGCAATTTTCCAGTGCATAGGCAACAAGGGGTGTCCCACATCCTGAGCTCTCCTATGTACCCTAAGTCCATCTCCTAGCTATTTTAATTATTTATCTGCCGACAAATTCGACACGAGCGTGTCTGGCTTGAGGTTAAGTCCTGTCTCTGTGGCACATCCAAAAATGCTAGCCACTCACCGCAAGTGTGAAAACCCTGCTCCAGGGAGAATAAACTTGTTATCCATCATCGCCAGGCAAGGGATCTAATTAGTTCATCCATAATTGAGGCGGAGCTGCTGCTCAACTTTGGTTTTACTGTTTCGCCTTGAGTGGGGAAAATCCCCACTTAATGTCACCCACTTTTCCGCGCCATCAGGCACCCATTTGAATTTGCAAGGAATTATCATGGAATTATCATATATAGATGCAAGGACTTTTGACAGCCAGACGCACATGTGCCAGGCAGCCCGCCTGCGAAGTCTTGACTTTTAGCTTTGTTTAATTAAGCCGAACTTTCAACAATGAAGGCAAAACACACATGCTGCATTGTTGACGACTGACAGTCTCCTAGATCCTGATCCTGGCGGAGGTGCTGGCAACTGTCAAGGAGCCACATTGACGGCTCTGACAATGGCCAACAGATGAGAGATAGCCGGTAAAGACTTTTGCAATTGTTATTGCAGTTAGCATCTGCTCACAACACCTTGGGATCTGGCATTTCCATTTCCATTCTCCACATTTTCCCATTTTCAAGGATTGCATAACGAGGCGGCAACTTGGGTAAACTTTAAGTTTTCTGCAAGAAAGTTTCCAAAAGCAAACAATAAATATTTGCTCAGCGCATAAATCAGCAGTCTAGGCCCGCTATTATCGCTCCTATGCGAAATCCTCTTTCCTCCCAACAAACTTGCCGGGATACGCCCACAGCATTTCATGTTTATTATAAGAATTTAAATTTATGCTAAACAGCAACTTAAGTTGGTTTTTGGCCACCCAGCCGAGCCGGGTTCAATGCGCCGCAAAACTCCCGGCTGGCGAAGTCGTGCGCACAAAGTTCAAGGTGCAGGGAAATTGAAAATTTATTACTGCACCAGAAAAACGAGAAAATCGAATTGGGAGAGCCAAAGACTATCAGAAGGAGTTTATTATGTTCAAACAATTTTCTGGCATTAACAAACTTTCTTTAATATTCAATTTCAAATTAATTTCTTTTGAAACTTGCATAATTTAAAGTGTTTTAGAATGAATTATAAGTTGAGAAAACAATTAAATGCTGTTCCTTATTGATTCATAAATTTTCCTCTTTATGGCTAATGGATGCGATAATTGACAGGAAAGTGCTCCCTGGTACATATTGGAATTATGTTGTTTTACGCTTTTGTGGAAAACTTTTTGCTCTGCTAATTGTTCGGGCCATTTAATTAACAACTATGCCCTGGGACATGTGGCACTTGTTCCACCGGCTCGAGAATTTGTTGTCATTCTTGTTGTTATCATTTCCGTTGGTGTTCATGTTCGTGTTGCTCTTGTTTTGCTGATTGTTGTTGCCGGAAGTGCTCAAATGACACACTCTAAAGTGTGGAACTCGGTGAGCCCTTTGCTTATTATTCAGCCTGTCTGGCAGGCTTTCTACTTGTAAATCACACTACTTCCGCCCAGTCGTCCAGCCCAGGCAGCCAGACAAAGGACAGACACTTGGACAGGACGTGGTAAGGCAGCAATTTTACCTTTTGTTGTTATTTTGCCAACAGGTTTGTGTAGCCATATTATTGTAACCAGGCAAGTAACTTTACACATAAACAAATTTTTGTGGTATTCGATTTTCATAAATAAGAGTATTTGTCATTTTATGAGAACTTTATAATTAAATAACCTTGTTTACAACTTTATTACTAAAAAGTTTAATAATTTAAATCAATTAAATACTTCACCAGAATTTCTTTCTGTAATATTGTGTGCTTAGTTACGTATATGTGTTGACGTTTAATCAACGCATTGTGCCATTTAACTCTGCAAACAAAACCAAAGTACCCAAGCACAATTCTAGCCTGGTTTTTCTCAGAATCCCCTTCCTTCCCCCTTTGAAATGCCATTTTCTTTGTCCTTACTTGAGCTTATGTTCTTGCTTTGACCTAACAGTTCGAGGCCTTTCGAGGAGCCTTTGGCCACCAACATTCGTTGTCCACTTTTATTGCCAATTAAATGCAGTAGCTCCTGTCACAGTTGTTGCTCCACCTCCACAGCTTCTCTTTGGCTTTCTCGGGCCTTCTCCCCTTTCTCCGGCAGTTGAAATTTCTTTTAGCACACACTTGGCAGATGCTTTGTTTATGCTTTCTCTTTGCGCGCTGTTCCATGAAAGCATCTAAATTTCCGCTTACAGTTCTCAAGATGGGAGGTAGGGTTCTTAAGAGGATCTAATTTAAAAGAGGTTTAACAAATTTAAAAAAAAAAACGTTAAGATTCTAAAGCAGCGAATGTTAAGAGTATGATACGATATGAAAAACTCTCCTTTAAAATCCTAAAATTTTAAATACCGAAAATTATTTTTCCCGTTGTCTGGAAATTGAAAATTCATTATGACCTTTGCTGATGACTCACTTTTCCTTCACTTCCGGGCTGTTAACTGCTTTTTAATGATGCCGCTAAAGAAGCAGCGGCATGAACATAAACATTAACATCTCAGTAATGTGGGTGAACGTTACTGAATCTGTGCAGCAAACACAGCAACAGCAGCTGCTCCTGATTTTAATGAAAATTCACTTGACACGAGAAAGCATTTCATGTAATTTTTATAATCTTAAGTGTCTTTTATTGTCCGGCACTTGGCGCTCGTAATGCGGGTGGCAGCAATTAATTTTGTTTATTGCCAATTCATGGTTCATTTCATATAATTCCAGTAGCTTCAACCCCATCACGCTAGCCAGAAATTCCTTTTAGTGTCTTCGGCTATCTAGGGACTTTAAAGTCGTGCATGGCACGCTCTGCATGGCAATCAATATAGATAATCGTACTTTAGTGAGTTTATATCACCCACCCCGGGTGATAGTTAAACATTTACTTCACATTTAGCTAATGTGAAGAGTGAAAATGTTTTCTCTAATCGAAACATAAATAAATTAACTCGTTCAACTGCGTATACGTGATAACAAGTATACGCCCTGTGGCGCAGCCCAGAGGTATGCTGCATTTGAGTCGAGGGAATGATGTTTCTATTTGGATCGAAACAATTAGCAAATTTAAAGTTAATAAGCTGCTTGTGGCAGAGATACCCACTAGCATAAGCTGCTGGAACAACAAATTCAATTAAATAAAGTTCCATGGAGGCTGGCAACCGTGAAAATATTTATACTTCGTCAGCCGTTTCATGTTTGAATTAATTAATTGCATTTGTCAGCGGTTTCGGGTCTGCTTTTGAGGATTTTATTATGGTTTCATTACTGTTATTTGTTGCCGGCTGCGCGCTTACATTCCTGTGGCAATAACGCACAAAGGACGTAGGCGCTTTTGGTCCTTTTCGGGGCATATCCCATGGACACGTTCACTTCGCCTGCGTAACTGCAATATCTACGCGCTCCAGCTCTCTCTCCCATGTGTTTATCCTTCCGCATTAATTAATAAATTCATTTAAAGACGGTCTGTTTGCGGGGGGTGTTGCTGTTGGCTTGTTTGGTTCAATCGGGCAAATATTTAGTTGGATCCATTAAAGCAAAGGCAAACCACTAGAATGCCAACATGTCTGGCTTTCACACTCATCCACCCGCACTTTCCCGGGGAGAAGAAACCACAAGACAACCTCCCACCCAAAGTTGCCACAAACAGATAGATATGCGGATGCATGGTAGAGTGGGTCGGTGGCGCTTAGCAAAACAAATTAATTTCATTACGGGCCCTGGCAATTTTCTTGAAATTTTGTCAATTTTAATTATAAATAATGCCAGCCAGCTTGGTTGGCCTCTTCCAATAGATGCTCCTCGTTGTGCTCCTTGGCGCACATGCCACAAATGATTGATAGTTTTTTGTGTGGCCAAGACGTGCGTGCCACAGTGAAATGAAAATAAGCAGAGTGATCGAAGGAAACTTCACAGAAACCCCAAGCAGATGCCAGCTAATTAAATTTGAGAAGTATTTCCCAAAATGTAATTAGTTTTTGGAATGGAAATCAAAGGAATAACTAGTTTATGGCTTAACCACATTGCAGGATATTATTTATATATCAGTTTGGGAGAAAATCATTTTTAATAGCTTGAAAATAAATAGTTAATGTTTTTGATTTCATAATTGGGAGGTTTGAGAGGATTTTTATTTCATTGAAATATTTTCTCTAAGATAAAAACCATTTTTGATTACAATTTTTTTGTTTATTTTTAGACAAAGAGAGTTGAGCTTAAAGTTAGGTTTCCCCAATTGCTTAAAACTTTTCTTTAGTTATATATTTATTCAAAAACAGAACATTGTTGTTTTAAGAATCTGCTATCTACTGAGTGGATGTCTTTCAGTTTAAGCAACTTACTTAACCCACAGACTAACAACTCTATCCATTGTTGTTCTCGTTCCATTGCAGCTGACATCGTTCTACAATGAGAGCAGCTGGACGAATGCCTCTGAAATGGATACAATAGTTGGTGAGGAACCGGAGCCGCTGTCACTTGTGTCAATTGTAGTTGTTGGTAAAGTAAATGTCGTTGAATGTATAACAACCCGCTGCATCGCATCCACTCAGCTCACGGACACTGCAGCAATTATCTGTAAAATTGCATGTTGCATGTGACAAACACACCATCACGCACCCTCCGAAAGCTACACCCTCACCTACACCCGCACACACTCATCCACCCAGCCCACTCAGAAACACACTGCCTCGAATGTTTACCCATAAAACTATGCTTTAAACGATCATTGTTGTGTGTATGTGCGTGTGTCTGTCTGTGGACGGTGGGATTATGGGTGTGATATTTGATTTGGACTCGCCGCAGGCATCTTCCTATCGGTGCTGATATTCCTCTCGGTGGCCGGAAACATCCTGGTATGTCTGGCCATATACACGGAGCGCAGTCTGCGCCGCATCGGCAATCTGTTCCTGGCCTCATTAGCGATTGCGGATCTGTTCGTGGCCTCGCTCGTGATGACGTTCGCAGGTGTCAACGATTTGCTGGGTAAGTACTAAAAAGTATGTCTACCTTTTTATGCCTGCGTAATGGAAAATTGCAATTGAAATTTGCTAGCTCTGAAATTTATGTAAATTGCTGAAGGCTGTAAAAAAATTACATAAATCGATGAATTTTTCATCCAACCACCAGCTCGGCACTCGAGCCTATCTGACAAAGCTGGGGGCGCTTAAAGCCGGATTTAAAATGGCTTTGTCAATGCCTTTTAAAGTGTCAGCTGCACAAGTCCATGCACGAGCTGGCAGAGTTCTCCGGAATCTCGAGTTCCCGGATTCCGTGCCACTCCAGTGACGGCCATTGTGACTGCACAAGACTTCCTGGGTCCGGAGTGAAAAGCGAGGGTGGACTTAGAGGTTCTCGCTTGGTATAAATGATATGAAAATATATTTTTTTTCTGCCATCTAGTATAATTTAGATAGTCTAGGTTCTGGACTTTAATTCCATCTTCAAAATTCTCTAAGCAACCCTCTCTACCATCTAGTTGGACAAATGGTTATAGTCAGCCAAACAGGAATTTCATTTTATTTCAGCTGTACGTCTAACATGCAGATCCCGTGTGCAGCCACACATTCTGATTATTTTCCATTAGCCATTCCGAGCGAGGCAGAGGCACTTATTCCTCGAGTTATCCTGCCCGACTCCTGCCACATTTTCAACAAGATGTCCTTGTGCAACTGAGGCTCTTGCCAGCCGGATGGCAGTCCTCGCCCCATTTATGAGTGGTGCATTCCACATATTAATGCCACCGCGCGGTGCACCGCCGGAAGGAAAACTCGAGATGGAAACTTGACGGCGGAGCTGTTTGGTGGCTAAGTAAATAAGAGGCAAATTAGGCGAAAGCCGGGCCAAAGTTTTCAACGGGGAGCTAACAACGTGTTCCGGTTCAGGAAACATGCAGCTGACATCAATGTGCGTAAGAAAAAAAGTGGAAAATCATAAACAACAAACAGAAAAAAAAGCCAAAGGAAAACTGCGAGCCTGTCATGCGAGACTGAAAATGTGAGCGGAATCCGAAGCGATGCCTTCGGATAAGATGGGGGGAGTAGGATGGGATGACACATGTATGTTACAGGCATCCAAACACCCACTCCCTTTCGCCTCGCCACGCGAGTGTGTGTGAAAATAATAAACGACTTTGGCACTCGGAGGAGCCGAGTGCTGCCGCGTAAGCAAAAGTGTGAAAAAATAAATAAAAATGCTCAGCTGCTCCAAGACAAACAGATGCCTTAGGGGCCGTCAACAGACCAACACCCACACGGAGGCAAATTATTTTCGCCAAGGCAACATTTAGCACGCTCGAAGACAGGCAAATCAGCAAATAAACATCGTACGCAATTGGACAAACTCAAACAGCAAGCGGAGTAAGCCGGGAAGCGTCGAGAATCGACAGATGCTGCCAGCCGGAGGAATCACAAAAACATATAGCAGCATATAGTACACTTTTTGGCCAAAAGAAATTCATAAGAGTAGGCTTAGACAGCGGGGCTCAAAATAATAGAGCAGAATCTATCTTTATTTTTAAATTTTTAATTATGTTTTAAAATACATTTTTAATTCATTATTAATAATAATTTTCTTATGGCTTATTACTTGGTAAAATAAAAAAATGAATGAGTAGTATGTTTTATTTATTTAGAATTATTTTTTCCACATAGACTGTGGAACAAAAATGTGTGCATTAAAAGCGGAATGAATTATTTGCTGACTTCAATACATGCTCATACACTTTCATCTTTCCAAATTGCTTTTTTCGGGACCATGAGCATTTGGCCAAATGCTCTGCATTCTTTCGAGCCAAAGCTGAAGTCAAAGCTGCTCTCGATTTTGATGGAAAAGAGGGAAAAAAGAGCTCTGAGTGCAAATTCGGTATTTCAAAAACCATTTGCAAATCTAATGCAATCCGCATACGAGCTCGTACAAAGCCGTTGAAAGTATTTGACAAGAGGAGTTATGGAAAGACCATTGACAGTTGCCAGGTTGAAAATTCTTGGGAGTTTTCAGTTAAATGCTAACTTGTTTTTTGGAATGAAAAATATCTACAATTTATTTAATATTTTTGAATGAAACGACATCTGACTTAAAGCCAATGAAATTGGTTGTGGGCCTATTTATAAACTTTAGGAAGTTTGAGTCATTGCCGATGATTTTTGATATCCTGATAGTCCCCTTTTGATTTTCCGATATCCTGAAGCCTGAGCCGGGTCGAATTGGTCGGGATTTGCTTTGACCAGTTGCGTTGGTACTTCCTGTGGCATTTAAGAGCCGTATCCTGCGGTACGCTTGATTAACTGGCATGAAAGCGGTAACGAGCATGATATGCATATTCTTATCGCCCACACGACCTACGCCATCTCCCCAAAGCCACGAACACCACAAATAAATAACCTTTTTATTTGGAAAATCTGTTATTGAATTCAGTGCATAGAACGAGCTCAAATGTGCGTATCAGTGAGTTTGTTTCCTCTCTGACCCCGAGCACCAAAGGACATCCGTTTCTGGTCACGCACGGGACATCAATCGAGTCTGGGTCTCTGCAATTGCGACGCACTTGTGGAATCTACAAGCCTCTGAAAATAATTTATTTGTTTTACTTTGGGCCAGCGAAATGAAATTTAAATGGCTCTCGGCCCGAAAGGAGACTTGCATATGTGTGCGGGCCAGGAAACGGAAATGAATTTATGAAATCATTTAAACTCAATTTGCGTCATGAATAAATAAAACAAGAATCTGGCTGCTGTCATACAACGGCTGCCTTTTAGTCTCCGTCCGGTTCCCTCCGCCTCGTTTTCCGGCTGCACTTTGCCGTGCAAATGAAACAACTTTTTTCCGTCCGGCCGCAACATGGCAATTTCCGTCATGTCCAGGACACAGGCAGAAAGTCGAGTAGCTATTAAGCATTTTTAACAAGCAATCAAAGACTCGTCTGAGTCCACTGATTTTCACCTTACTCACGAATATTTTTCCCCCATCTCGTATCTCCCGCAGGATATTGGATCTTTGGAGCACAATTTTGTGATACCTGGGTGGCCTTTGATGTCATGTGCTCGACGGCTTCAATTCTCAATCTCTGCGCCATCTCCATGGACCGCTACATCCACATCAAGGATCCGCTCAGGTGAGTGATTGTCAGGATGTGTCACATGCATAAATTATCCAATCCATATGCGCTGTCAAACTAATTGTCCTTGCCGTGAGGGTTCACCTATCGATTCATTAATGTCAGGCCATTGCAGGTGCTTTGTATGCACGTTACTCATACGCCGCGTTGTAATGCCTGTCACGTTTTTGTGGCACCACTGTCTGCCTCGCCATTCCATTCTCCGGCTTGTTTTCCCCCCAATGGTGTGCCACTCGACTGCCACTTGTTTATGGCAGTGGGGCTCATTAATCGCAGCTCATAATTGTTTCATTAGTAACAGATTTATGGCGCATTACGAGCCAGTTTTTTTCCCCTTCACTGGCGCCTCGCGACTTCATCTTCACTTGGCTAAGCACTTTTGGATCACAACAGCTGAAAGCTGTGGTTCTCTGGTCCAAACCAAGTTATGTTGAGTCACTTAGTATGGGTCAGAGCCTGAAAAAGTTTCCAAAGAAGTGTCATTACCAGCTGGTGAAAGTGGTACAAGTTCATCATTAAACTTATATTCTATTTAAGATTTTGGAGACTTTAAGCAATGATTATGGTACACTCTTTAAGTAATTTGATGGCTACAAAATTTTAACCTTGGCCACCTGATAAACACTTCGCACCCCCGCCAAAAATGACTTCATCTATCAGCTGGATGAGCGTTACCCAAAAGCTCCATTATATCAGTTCAATCTACCTTATATATCCGTCACGTTCCTCCAGCTGCGCTATACGGCCGTATCCTGCTCTGCCCCGTCCTGTCCTGGCAGGAAGCCCCGGAGACAATCAAATTCTGCTGCCTCAGGTGGCTGTTGTCCCTGTCTGTATTGTGTGCTCAAGTGTTCGTGTGAGAGTGTGTGTGTGTGTGTCTCCAGCTAGGACAATGACAATGAGCTTGTCCTGCTGTCGTCGTACCCCAAAATGCTGCCAGTCAGCCATGTTAGCATGCTTTGTAGTCAGCAGTTGAAATTGATTTCCAGTGGCTAGAGAGCTATTCGCACAAAGGCAGTCAGTCGAAAGTCAGCTCGGTAAACTTGAAACTAGTTTATCTGGTCCCACGATCCCAGACTTTTGTTCCACTTTCGGCTGGACCACAACAATTGTGTGTTAATTAAATTTTCAACAATGTCACCAAAGTGCTCAGGCCACACAAGTGCAAGCCAACAAACATTTTTTGGCATAGGAATATTACATTTGTGGCCAAGAACAAACGCTGAAATTTATTATGTGTCAGCAACCAGGAGAATTTCTTCATATGTGGGTATGTGTGGGTGGCTGGGCACAGAAAAAAAAATATATTTTAAAAATATTTGAAATATCTAAGCCAAAACAAGTTCTCATTAAAAAAAGGGGAATAGCAAACAAAAGTAATGATTTCAACCATCAATCTTGATTAATTATGATTCTAAAAATATTTTTACATTTTCGATAGGACATTTTTTTCGCAATGTAAAAACGGTTTTTTATTTTTTTTCCTCCCGAGTGTGTGTACTGTAGATTTTTGTTAAAAATGACGTTGGTCAAGTCGCTGACAGGCGCTGTGAGGCTATTTGGCTCAGTGGGAGCAACCTAACGAAATGATTGCGGGATTCTTTTTTTCGACAGTGGGGGGTTTTTTGTTTTCTATTTTATATGAAACAGGGCCGAGCTTTCGGGGGCATAAGGGAGCAACTAAAGCAAATCGAGACAGTTTCCAGTTCCCCACTCTGAACTCGCTGCGAATGCGACTAACCCACAGCGCCGTGTCATGAAAGAGCCATAATAAATCCTTTGATGCTATTTTCAGCCAAAAGCCAAAAGTAGAAAAATATATATTTTTTTTTTGCCGCAGCTGAACTGCTCAACCCCGGCAGCGTTGTTGGTGCCACCTGGGGTAGCTTATTCGCTTATGAAAAATGCTAGACGACATTTGTATTGGTGTGCCCCTCGCATTTCCCCTATTTCCCTCTTTATTTTTCTCCTTCCCAACCCATCCAACCACCCAACCATTCTGCCGTCTATCCACCAATCCATCTATCCATCCATCTATGTATCTTTTGTGTAGCCGGGTTCACGTAACGAGTTGGCGAGCATATAACGCTTCATTGATGTGGCAACTTGATGCTGAAGCGAGCTGAAAATTCAGATTGCAAATTTTGTATGCCACGGCAAAAGGATTTAAATGAGCTCAGGCCAGGGGTCGGATGGATGTGGCACGGGCTGGCCAAATGACAATTTTCATGGAGCATTTCTTCCTGCTCCTGATTCAGAATTCAGTTTGTCCTTTTGGCAGAGAGAGGGGCGAGTCAGTTGCAGATGGATGGAATTGAAAGTGAAATTAAGCAAGAGAGAAAGTTTAGTTTGATGCGAAAAAAAGGACTGACTGGCATTTCCATGACTGACATCAGATGTTTGATGATGGGTGAAATGACATAAATTGCTAGATTGATCTGCACATTTTATTCCACAAGATTAAGTTTATTTAAAAATGGGAAACTAAATGAGCGGCAAATAAACTTCAGGTGTTTAAGGGGTTATATACAGTTGTAATATATGAAAAAATCGATTTTTTTTTTTATTGCATATTCTTTAAATATATTCTATTGGGAATACACTCACAAAAATTCATAACGATCGCAGCATTGGAACCGAAGCTGTAGCTATTTGTAGCGCACTATCTGCATATAAAACTTGAACAAACTTGAAACTTTAAACGCGATTATCTCAGAATCTTTTTTTTGGGAAATTACCTTTGCGGTGGACACGATTACTAAAAAACTACTAATCCGATCAACACCAAATTTTGACCACTTATTTATTATGATATTAGCTAGTCCGTGAACGAGGGATTTTCAATTTGTTTGAAAACTCCTTTTTTAAAGCACAAAAAACGAAAATCTTATACGTTGAAAAAGTACATTTTTTGTTAAAAACGTCGCCATTTTTTTTTTTATCAAAATTTTTAAAAATCCCTCGTTCACGGCCTAGACAATACAATATACTAACTAAACTTTTTTGAATTTTGGGTTTCGGAAGAACCGTTTTCGAGAAATCATGTCCACCGCAAGACACCATCGAAAAAAGACGATCCGGGAATTCGGCTATAACATTTTTGTTATGTAATATTTTTTTATGAAAAAATTTAATTAAGTACCCAGAAACATGTACTAAACAACGTCGGTAAAACATTTTTCATAAATATTTTTTATGGTGTCAAAAAAAAATCGATAAAAATCCATATTTTTGCGCGGTACAACTGTATATAACCCCTAAGCCTTTAAAACTGCTTCAAGAGAGCCTCTTTCTTTTGCAATCTGAAAATTTATCAGGTATCTGTAAACATACTGAGGCTGAGTAAACATTTACATTGGTCAAATTTGTGTTTCAATACAGAAATGAAACCTCAATCAAAATTGCAATTCAAAGGCTGATTAAGGTGGCCAAATATTCTCCAATATTAGTCTTAGCCCCTGGGTTAATGACATTTGCATAGGCACTCAGACACAGCGGCGCCGCTGGACAAGCTCAGTACGCGGCCCGAAATTGAGTTTAGCCACCTGAATTCGTTTGCATTTGCACCCGGGGCCGAATCCAAAGTTCCACCCACGACCTGGTGGTATTACAGCTCTGTGCAGGAACCCGAGACATTTTACACTTCAAATGTCAAGACGTCGCTCGCACCACTCACTCTGAATGCGAATGCGAATCTGAAGTAGCCCAGCTTAAGGCAGCTCGAAAGTGCACTGAAAAAAAGTGATATACAGATAATGTTATTTTACTAGTTAGTTAAGAAATATTTAAGAAGTATTCATAATTTTTCCCAATGTATAGAAACTGCACAAGCCCTTGGCGCAACGCACAGTTTCCACCTTTTGTGTCTGAGAAATGGTAACTGGTATCCCAGAGGGATGTGTCTAGCATTAAACATTACCATCCTTGGTCCGACTCCGGGCTCGTGCTCCCTCTTTATGTAAATCTGATTTATTTGCATGTCAAAGTGGAGGAGGCTGCGACGCATTCCCCGGCAAAGTTCACGCGCCATCTTCTCATTAGGATGCCAGTGCCACGCCCCAACACTGCTCCAACATCTACAGAACCATTCATCTAGGACCTGTCTCATTCCAGACAGAACGCAAGAAACGCTGATTCGGTGTATTTTCTTAGCGTTTTAGAATAATTGCAGGCGTTTAATTTAATTGCGCTCGCCAGGATTTTCCTTGCCGGGAAATTGGCAAAAACAATTTGGATAAAAAGCGCGTGCAAATTTAATTAGTCTCAGACAAAGTGAAAATGAAGCGGCTGTCTCCTCGGCTTTTTTTTTGTATCTTCCTCAACAGCAAAAATGATTAAAATAAGAAATTTTGCGTATTTTGTGCGACAAGTTGATGCTGCCAAGTGGTTGTTGTTCCTTTGATTTTTTTTTCGTTGTCGCATTCAGCTCGTTGTCGTTGTTCGTTGACTTTGGCGCCTGTCATCATCGTAACTGTCAGGCACATATGTGAAATTCATTTTAAACTGCAATAAAAACTGAAAGAACAATGAAAGTTTGCCGCAGGCGACAGAGAAAAGGGCTGGAAAATATATGTAAGAGGGGGTTTTGGGGCTTTTTGGGGTTTGGCGCGGTATATTTTAGCCCAAAAATGAAAAACCAAAGGCAAAAACACTTAAACGAACACCGCAAAACCTGTTCCAGCTACAATGACGCACTTGGGAACTTTCTGTAATTGTATTTTTCGTGTTGTCTTGGTCGTGGTTTTTGGAGCCATGTTTTCCTGAACTCTGAAATAGAAAAAAGGGATCGTCCGAGATATATTTATTGTACCCAAAATTGAAAAATAATGGCAAAAAGACGCTTTTTATGCTAGAAACGAATAGATAATAGCCTTTTCATATTTAACTGTGGCTATAAAACACCGTGGAATGTCTTAAAGTATTGATATTTAATATTAATAGGTTTTGAAAACAATCGCGAATTATTTAAAATTTTTATAAAACGGTGTTGTGAGCACGTGCTGGAAATGACAGTAACGAAAACACTCATAAAGAGCCATCAAAGTTACCATACCAAAACAAAGGCAAACAAGCGGCTGGCAAGCTGACGTGGCAGGACCTGGAAAAATAAGTAAGCGAAGCGCCTCAAACTATGCAAATGACACAAAAGCCAGGAGTGGAGCCACAGGAGGACAAGAAAGGAAAATAAAGAAAGGGAAAAGGGTGGAGGTGGAGGTGGGTGCTCTGGGAAGCAAGAGGAAGGATCATTGTGCGTGCCTTGCGGTAATTTCTTGAGTGCATGTGGGACAACACACAAAGCCACCGCATGCCACGCAGCCAGTCAAGCACCAGCGTTAAATGCAAATGTCCTTTGCTCGGAGCAACCTGCTCCTGGCACCCACCCATACACACTCTGGCAGGTTCTCACACACGATTTCAATTAGCCCATCGATGCCTGATTGCCTCCTTTACTCCCAGTGTGTCACCTAATGGCTGCAGGTTTATGTGCATATTTCAAAGCGCTTCCACAGCCGCTTCAGTCTAAGATACAGAATTAGTTCTTGCCGCAATCCGCAAAAAAAGTAAGGTTCACATTTAAAATAAAGATTGAATTAAAGAGTTTGACGGAGAAATAAATAGGTCTACTTAAGGTAGCTCCTATTTAAAATCCTTTGACTAACTTATTCATTTTAAACACTTCAAGAGAATATACATATATATTTTTTACTGTGTAACAGGTGAGATTCAGCGATGATGGCTGAGTGGAATGAAGATAGTAAGGGAACAAGACGGAATGAAGGACATGAACTGCGGGCTTTCGTCACATGGAAATCAATTTTCGTGCCGAAAACGAAATTGAATTTGTATGTGAATACAATTACATAAACTTCCGTTTCCGCTTTGTCGTCGTTTCGTCTTCCTTCCAGCCGTGCCATCCTTGAGGGCCACTGCCCGTGTGGGTGCGAATGCGGCAGTGTGTGTTAGTGCGTCTTTGTATTGAAATTGAATTATTCTGTTTGATTTCCTGCACAAGCCAAAATGATGCGGCATATGGTGCCAGACCCGGATCCGGATCCTAAAACCGAAAGCTCTCACCCGGCATAGCGACTTGGGTATTTCGGTTTCGGTTTTTGGTTTTGGTTTTTGCAATTGCTGCAGACTGTTCATTTCCTGCCGTAAAATCGGAATCGAAATGCTTGAAAAAAGGAGACCGTCTTCGGCGATGATTTGCATATGCCATTCGCCCACTTGGCTGTGTGTGTGGTTTTGTTCTCGGGTTAGGGCGATTTGTCGCCTAACCCACATCCAGTCCTGGTAATTAATGACATGCGGACTGACCCGAGACCACCTGGTCCGCAGCCATGGCTCTGGTTTTTGTGAATCCTGCGACCGGCTCTGGGCAGGCCCAACACTTGTCGCGCACACCCGAAAATGATGTTGTCTAATGGCGATGCTTGGCCGCTGAGGGATTGTCAACTACATGCAAAGCCACAATCAGAACACGCTGCCGTGTTCGTGTTCCAAGCGAACACGCCTCCGCCCACGTGTTGCTCCTGGTACTTTCCACTCAAAACAACAAAAAAAAGCTTAAATTATTCAGCAAAAAATTAACAAGCACCCAGCTCAATGTAAACAAAGACCTAAATTATTCAGCAAAACAAGTACGCAATTGAACAATTTTATGTTTTATTCTGCAGTTTGGATAATAAATCTTGCTCTTTAAATTCAACTAGAGTTCAAAAACTAAAGCTTGGAATGCTTATCCACCTTTTTACTCAGAGTTTAGAATTTTTGGAATACATCCAACTACCCATGAAAGAATTTTAGGACACAACTCGTCTAATATGCGAAAAGTTAGGGCTTTAATTAGTAAAAGGGTCAAATTTGGTTGGAATGTCAAGCAGAAGTTTGGCGAGTGTAGTTTTGGTGTGTGTTTTCGCCCTTTTGTCGGCTACCACAAGGGCAAAAGGACAAAAAGACAAACGCCAGGAGCAGCAGCAGGATCTACAACATGCGAGGCCGAGAAGTGGAAAGCGTGGCGCGTGTATTTCCGCTTCCTTTGCCACAAATTGGTGCAACCCTTTCGCAGGCCCCTACTTTACTACCCATCCCTGCCTCAACTTAGCCCCCCGTTCAAGCCCCTTTTAACCCCTGATTGTAACCAACTCTCTTTTTGCAGATACGGCCGCTGGGTGACACGACGCGTGGCTGTCATCACCATTGCCGCCATTTGGCTGCTGGCCGCGTTCGTCTCGTTTGTGCCCATATCCTTGGGCATCCATCGGCCCGACCAGCCGCTGATTTTCGAGGACAACGGCAAAAAGTATCCTACATGCGCCCTGGACCTCACGCCCACCTACGCCGTCGTGTCCAGCTGTATCAGTTTCTACTTCCCTTGTGTGGTCATGATTGGCATCTACTGTCGGTAAGTCAAAGCGGAACTGCCTGAAATGGGTTTGCCGTCTCGGTGGGGGCTTTTTCAGATCTCAGATTTCAGCCAAAGTTTGCCGTGCATAAAACATGAAATGCATAAAGAAAGATATTTCCAGACGCCTTCAGCTGCAATTATGTAGATACAAATAGCCCACGGCAACAAGAAACAAAACTAAACTTTCTGTACAAAACTTTTGCTAAAATCTCTTCAAATGAAAACAAAGAAAGAACTCAAACACTTTTATGAGCTTACAAAAAAACAGATCACAAAAAGCCAAATGAATGCATATTTTTTGTTTAACCTTAGAAAGTTTGTATACTCTTTCCACACGGAAAGTACACATTTTATGAATATGTTGAACTTTTTGTATTATTTGTGGAGGTGTTTGGAAGCTGGAAAAAAATGTATTTATTAAAGAGAGGATTTCAGGTTTTCAAAAATATTATAATAACATTTTAACATGTGTAGTCTTAGTATATCCAGTATTTAAAACAAAGTTTAAATAGCATATTTTTCATAGAAAGATAAATTCTAGGATGTGCTATTCAGAATGGCCTCTGAAAAACCTGCCTGCTAGACTTAAATTAAAAATTGGCTTACACATACGAAAATTTTACTTCAAAGAGGTGGCTTTAGTGAAAGGAAATGAGTTTTTCCGTGTGAAGGCAAAGTCTTTCCGCATTTGTAATAACCTCGGCAAGGGCATAAAAAATACGCAAAAAACCAACAAACAAAACAACGAGGCAACCGAGCCTGAAGTAGTAAAAAGTAAATAATAAAATGTTGTAAAAACTGACGAAGTTGGCTGCTATCGCAATGCTAAAATGCTGAATATATCAGAAAAATGCCGCAAGGACTTGCGCTCCTGATGGCCTGCAGGCACGAGAAAGGAAAACGAGGAGAACTTCTGGTTGACGGGGAAAATAAATGTGGGCAAGGGGTTTTGGGTTGAACAAATAAGCGTACGCATTAGTGTCCGTCTAAGTAATCCCCAGGATACTGGCAAAAGACTTGGGCGTGTGCGAAAGGACTAGACAAGGACACGGGCACACAGATACACTGATACATTTACAGATACAAATACTATACAGCGATAGCTGCTCATCAACGTTACGGCCAGCGGCACGTTGCCATTTTAGCTTAACGAGATTTGCAGCCAATGGCCAGGACCTCCAATTCCTCAGCCGTCGCTTCTTGCCACTCCCACTGCTCTCATCAAATGGATCCCCCGTTGGTTAGCATTGGAATTTTCTATCAAATTTCGGTTAAATTACAGAATAAATATACTTTTATCGTCATAATTTGTGCCTAGCCAGGCTTCTCTCCTGTTATCCTTTTTATGTGGCCCACAAGCAAACACCCAGCTAGTCCTTGGACAGACACATATGCTTGTTTATTTGTTAGCCAGGAGCTAGGAGACAGGATACACAGAATAGGAAGCAGCTTCGAGAGCAACTCAAGTGGAAGATTGGATATGATAGTCAGACATTGCGTATACACAGTGTGTTTCCTTTAGTTATTGATGTGGACAGAGCCATTGTTGCCGGTCCCCATCTAATTGACATGCCAAGTGGCCCGAGTGAATAATTATCATATCAATTACAAGTAGTAACCAGTAACTACAAAACCACCGAGAAAACAAGCGGAGGTTGCCACAGAAACAGGACAGCAATCAAGGCAAGCCATTCATTAGGTGCCAAATAATTGCTGTTTTGCTATTTATTCCAAAAGCACTAATGAATAATGGGGTTAAAGTATGTAATTATTTTCACAATAAAGGACACATTGTAATCAGTTTAAAGGGTGCAAGAATGTTTAAGGATGATTAATACAGAAAATTAAATCGTTTGAAATTTTTTAAAAATAGAATCAACTTAAATAAAGGCTTGTATTGTAGCTAAAATTGTTATCGGATCTTTATTTTTTTGTTAAGCTTTTATATTGTTAAAACTTTAATGGATAACCCTCTATTTATTATGACTTTGGTTCACTTTATATTAATTCAGGTTATATTGCTATGCCCAGAAGCATGTGAAATCCATCAAGGCCGTGACCCGACCCGGTGAGGTGGCCGAAAAGCAGCGCTACAAGAGCATCCGCCGCCCCAAGAACCAGCAGAAGAAGTTCAAGGTACGCAACCTGCACCACAGCTCCCCGTACCACGTCTCCGATCACAAGGCCGCTGTGACGGTGGGCGTGATTATGGGCGTCTTCCTCATCTGCTGGGTGCCCTTCTTCTGCGTCAACATCACGGCGGCCTTCTGCAAGACCTGCATCGGAGGCCAGACCTTCAAGATACTCACCTGGCTGGGCTACTCGAACTCGGCCTTCAACCCGATCATCTACTCGATATTCAACAAGGAGTTTCGCGACGCCTTCAAGCGTATCCTGACCATGCGCAATCCCTGGTGCTGTGCCCAGGACGTGGGCAATATTCATCCGCGGAACAGTGATCGCTTCATCACGGACTACGCCGCCAAGAATGTTGTGGTGATGAACTCGGGCCGCTCCAGTGCCGAACTGGAACAGGTCTCTGCAATTTGACCAAAAGGTCGATGTCTGAATCTGGGAGGATGCACCGGAGGAGAGAGTGGAGGAGCTAACTGGCTGCCATGCGGTTGCGGCGGCCTCCGGGTGGACGACGATGACGATGGGGCCCTGACCACGCGTTACGTTCCATGAGATTCGGTCACGGCACCCACGGCCACCATCGTGGAGACCGTGGAGGCCGCTCAAATGGAGACGGAGCTGCTCTAGGCCGCCAACTGGGTTCCTAAAAGCAAACCAAAATCTCGGTTCTAGTTTGAAATATTACTTCCCCCAAGATTCCTAAATACCAATGGAAACCTGTAAGTATTAAAAGCGCTTAGGTTTGGATTAATTCGAAAGGTGACGACAAATAATGGGCGATTATGAATATGGATAATTTTCGGTACATTTAAATTATTGAGTCTTTTTTTGTAAAATGTCGGTGAAATGTATGAAAGAATAATTACCAAAAAAAAATTAAAAATATTAAACACAGGAACCTTCTATAGGCAACTAAAGAACTTTTAAATTTTCTTAGACTGACTTTTCAATCATCTCAGAAAAACCTAGTTCTGAATAATTTGTAACGAAACGAAAACAGTTTATTCTAAATTTAAATACTTAAAGTTATCCATAGTCCATGAATCCCCTAACGGTTTGCAGTCACTGGCCATCCAACCCAGAAATGTGCGCATCTCAGAGACTAAGCAATCAACTATGCGTATACTTAATCGTACGATATTTAGCTATAAATCCCACAAACTCAAAGTCAACACATACCATTTGGAAAACCAAAACGTGATTAGGTCTAAGATCTTCAAAAACGGCACCGAAGAGCTTCTAGTTAAGTTTCTGTTTGGCTATTCATGGCAGTTGTGGATCCATGCAAATGCGATTATTATTGAGTGACACATGTCACTTGCCACACGTCTCACCCACACCCACTACACTCGCCCAACAACAAACACTCTCACACAAACTCCGTATAAAATGTGTTAAAAAATGCTGCATATATCGCGGCGCCCTCATATTGGATCAGCTTCACATTTGATTTATTGATGAGAATTTATGGCCATTGAACGAAGAGGAGCAGCAACAAAGCAGGCAGAGTGGCTGCCAGCTGCACTCGTAAATCATGCAAAATGATTATTGTTGTTATTATTACGAGCACGGGGCACAAATGCCCTTCTGTAAACCCATTCCTGTCCCTCGCCAGCATGGTGTTGGACCCTCTTTTATAGTAAATGTTATGTTTTAGTTCAAGTGCCGCCGATGATAGCGAGTTTTTATGGCCAAAGTTTGCAGACTGATTTGAATTTATGGCCTGAAATCTGTGCCACAATGGCAGCTCCCAATGTTAATTAGGCCAACTGTGATTGACACCACAGCCGAGAGCCGAGCGCAGAGAGTGAAAACAAAAACAATAACAGTCGTGAGGTTACTCCTTTTGGGGGAATATTCTGATTACCAGGTGATTTAATGAGCCGCACCTGCAAAAACAAAGTCGTGGCTATAGATTTCAGCCGGCGGCATAATGAACATGTTGCCCCTGGCATCGTTCCTCTCGTCTTCTCCCACCGAGTGTCCTGAATACATCCTGAGTGTCTCGTCTTACTCGGCTGGCAGGCTGTGGAAAACAAATGTAAACAGTTTGCTCTTCACGCCATAATGAAAAATTATGCCTGCAGAGAAGAAAAATGGTACTTTTATATTTATTCGTTTGCTTAATGGGTCAATTAGGGCATTAAATTAATCTTTTTAGATGAAAAACAAACTTTAATTTATTCTTAATTTTATAAATATATATTTTATTAAGCCCGTATAGATGCAATATTTTTGTGCAGTGATCCTTAGTCCCTATTTTGATGCCGCTTCACCCCTTTCGGCACTCGAGTTTCAATTCCACTTATTTGCGGATGCCAAAGCTCTTGGCCCAGAAAGCGTCTCAGTCCTGCTCCCATTTCAAGTCCTTTTCGGTTCTGTTATTAATACAAAGTACTTATGGCGCCCCCTTGCAATCCTTCCTCTTTGGGCAACCCCTTCCTATCCCAGGCAATCCGCTTACAACTTTTTCAGTCTTTGTTTATTCGTTTCCCTTTCGCGCGCTCCGCTTTTCGTATTTATTTTGGCAGTTTATTAAAACTTTTGGCGCTGCTTTCGTCATTTTAATTACAATACGCAGTACAAAAGCGAAACGGCATTTGTTATCGAGAGCCACGCCCCCCACCGCCCATCTCCCATTAAACTCCGCCCATTGGCGCGTACAAATCGTCATTGCCACAACTGGCACGCAATCAATTCAACTTCAACTTCGGCTTCAGCTTCAGCTTCAACTTCGACATGAAATTCGCACGTGTCGCGAGTTCCTCGATGGCTTGAAAGGCTTGAAATGTATCGCCTGGGAAAAAAAGAAGGTTTTATGTGGTACACACGATATCCCACACCATAACTCTTAAAAAAAAAACAGCCTTCTTATTGCCATTTGGATTTTTTTGGGGCACCGCCATTGACTTTGACTTTGGAATTTGTCATGATAAATGTTTGTGGTAGTGGCGTTCCTTAGCCTTTATCCATTATGTAGAAATTCTGGGTACATTCAAATATTGATTGAAATAAATCATCAATTATACTTAAGCTACCACACCGAAAACGCTTTAAGAGGAAGCCCTTCGATTTCAATCCCTTTAACCTCTGAAATACAATTATTGGCACTTGCCTCAAGTGGCTGAACTTTCCCCCAATACTTGTTCAGTGAAGGGCTAAGATATCTCACCATAACTCTTTCGATTCGGCTTTGCATAATTAAGATAATGCCCGAAAGGATTTCTTTTGTTTTTCTTTCTCCTTATAGGACTTCCTGTTTGCCCTGTCTTTCCCTTTTGTTCATCTCTGATTCGCTAAAGGCGATTCGGTGATTGCGACTATTTCCGATCCTTTTGTCTTTGGCAAAGGTTATAAGGCTTTTTCGGCTTTTGATTTTCGCGGGTTTTAATTGAAACATTTGACAGCCTGAAAGGCGATAGCTGGCGTTTTCATTTTTGCGTTACCCATCCTCTGGTTGTCTGGTTCTAATTGTATTAGCCAGATTCATGTTAGATGCCTACGTGACCAGGATTCCAAAGTGCACTGTCTATGTCATGGTTCTCGGAAAAAGCTAAGCGAACCCGGGCAAGTTGAACATGTACTTTCATTAGCATAATCGCCGAGCAAAAAACGCACTACCCTACTCAAGTTACGAAGGATAAAATAAGGAATTCCCCAACAGTATGGATTTTCTTGAAAGACTCGACTTGCCTTGTCGCTTAAACAAACAGATTTTCCGTAATTGCTTTCGCAATTCAATTATTTCCCACAAAAAAACCAATACACACAGAAAATCATTAAAAAAGCGTAGAACAGCTTCTCCAACAACAAACAATTACATTTTTTGTGCAAACACTAGGATCCAGAAAAAGTTCAGTTAACTGAACGTGTTCAATTTAAAAATAACACAAAAGAGCATTTGGCAAATATTTACCAACAATCAAGTTAAGTTTTTAATTTCCAATGGGGGGAATTTGTTTGACTTTTGGCTTAGGTTACCACCAAAAATAAATATATATGGTATGGTTATTTTTGCCTTGCTTACTCGTAAAAGCTATTCCCATATTTCATGTCGTCTGCCGGCTGGCTGGCTTGGGAAAATAACCTTCCAGCTGGCAATCCGTTTTGAGGCAGCCATCTGGCTAATCCGGTGCTTACATAATGCATGGCATATATTTTATGTTCAATTGGCAATCCTTTGAGCCCTCTTTAAAATCTGTTTGTACATTTGTTCGGATTTCCCCCTTTAGGCTAGTGCTAAACTTTTTGGCAAACACTGCACTAAAAGCTGAATTTCAGCTGAAAAACGAATCTGACGCCGAAAAAGTCAAACGATAAATGTCAACATTTCGCATAAATTGCAAGTTGATTGCCAAAGAGAATTCCAAGCGGTCGCTTTCCATTTGGCCGTTGACTGCTCCGGGTCCTCTTACTCGCTGACTGATTGATTGATTGATAGATTGATGGATGGCTGGATGGATGGTTGAATGGTTGGCTGAGTGGATAGCTGGCAAGCCAAACGAATTTTCCTGCTTCGCTGATTTTGAGTTTTTTTTTAAAGGACTGGCACACCCTCTAAGCTCCGCCAACTATCAACAGTTGGCTGGAAAACTTTTTATCCTTGCGCGCCTCGCTTGGCTTAACTTTAGCTATATTTTGGCATTTTTATAACTTTTACGCCTGGCAGTGTTTATTTTGCTTTACGACTTTCCACAAATTCCAGCAGTTTTGGCTTACACACAGGCTGCCTTCTATTTTTTCCGTGTTCGGCCCTTCTTTCCCGTAAACAGAATCTTTTCTTGGCGCGTGTCATTTTGTAGCCTACTTTTAGGCTGAGCTCGCATTCCGCATCCGCAACATTGCGTATACGCAACGTATGCCCGCGAAAACGTTTTATTGCCGACATCGCTTGGCGTGCTAATTTATACGTTAGGCCCGGAGGCTCTAACTTAATGCCGCTCTCGGCCCCAGTCACGCCTCAATGGATCATAAAAACACAATTTTAATCACAATTTCTTTTCGTGCTTACACCCGGCCACATACATACATACATACATACATCCATAGGCAAATTAGCGAAAACATTTAGGGAAGTATGATTTCCTGGGTGGCTATGAAGTATGAAGTTGGCGCTCCTGATAGAAAAATACACTTTAAATAAATATACTATTTTATCTATACTAAAGTATATTTTATTCTATTAAAGTGTGCGTTCTATCTTCTGACTCCTTGACCCAATGCATTGTAACTCATATTTGGCCGCCTGCCTATTCTGTGAGGATATAGCTGCAATGAACTTGACATTTAACCTCAAACGCACCACGGACAGCACTGCGTATACGCAATCTTTGACATTTGGCAACTTAAAGTGCTTTAAGCTGCCGCTAAGTCTTCGGCCAGTAACTTTCATTTGATTTCCAGCTTCTTGGCAGCCCGACCCTGCTTCTCTTCCCACAAAAACTTTTCCCCACCGTTGTGCGCACGTCTTTTTGTCGTCGAATCGGGGGCGGGGTTGAAAAACTTTGTGCAGGCAAAACTTTTTCCAGCGATGCAACAATAACAAATGCAGGCAAAGTTTAGATAGATTTCCCAGATACGTCCCTCCTCCAATACCCCGGAATCCTGCCACTTCGCCACCTGCAACATGCAATTAAAATTATGTGCCCCAGTCCCATTCAAGTCATTGTGCGCCCAAAAACCCGAAATGCAAAATGGAAAAGAGTTTCGAAAGCCTCAGCCTTGAAATTATT